CCTGGGAGGCAACAGCTTTACCAGAGGTAGATCTGCAAAGGGACATCAATCTACAGTCTTGTCCGTGTCGTTACCCTTACACCGTAGAAACTCAAGTACAAACTTGCTCTGACTTACTAACACTCACTTCTGTTATTTTAAGCTATGCCCAAAATGACAACACTGGAATATCTTTCACTCCATCTGATTACAATGAATGTGGTGAGTAAAAACTAATTAAAAGAAAGAAGCACTAACAGCAGCACAACTCAATTTCACAGAATACCAAAGAGAAAGCTGTTAGCACTACAAGAAGCGATGCGCAGAAGACAGATTTCTCATACACATAACCAAAGTGTTGTAATCAGCACTAGGTGAGAAGGCTGGCAAGGCTGACACTTCAAATGCCTTCTGTGCAAGGGAACACTTTCCATTTTATATTAACGCTATCGTAAGAACACTGGGAGCGAAAGCGTCTTTCTTTGTGAAAGCATTCCACAATAACCTAAAGCAGTCATTAAAATGTCACAAAAACCTTCTCACTCTGTAATTCTCCGGAGATAGAAGCATTAACAGCTCAATCCCCAAGTAAATTCAATAGGCAGTAACAAAGGAGTCTCCAGCCTTCTCCTGTCCTCCCGTCCCCATTGAAACAACTGAAGAGGGCCCTCCTGCCCACAGCAGTTTCTTTTTTACTGACTCCATAAGCCAGTGTGGTAGCAAATAAGACATGAAACACTGTGCCTTCCACTGTCTTCTCCCTTCTTCTGTCAGAAGTGCAGGGACGCACAACATGTCCTGCACAAAGCTAATACAGCAGAGACAAAGGAACAGGGCCTCTGAAGAACTGGGGCAGAGATGTCAGGGCAGTAACAGCTTGAAACAGCATGCTTCACAAAACTTGCTCGTCCTGTGCTACGCAAGAAGTGAACTTTGACCACAGGTTTTGCTTTTGACCCAAAAATGAGCTGCATCAGTAACACACTGCCCTCCTAGAACCACAGTGCTTAAAGAAAGCTGAAGGAGTTCGAGCAGTTGGTACAGCTGCAGTTGGTACAGCTGCAGTTGGTACATATGTTTGGCTTGTTCTCATTGGCAATTAGACTCAGAAAATCTAATGGAAGACCTGGTGTTAAAGGTGGCGGATGACAGAAGGAAAAAAAAGCCACCTCTGACAAGACAGTGTACCAGAAATCAGCACAGCCCAGAAACACTTATACTAGGAAAGTTAGCAGTGGTGACAGACCAAATAGCAAGTGTGATCACAAACTTTGTTACAGATCAAAAGCTACAGAGACAAGGTGTCAATCCAGGCTCCTAGAAAAGGGCTTAGTGATATCAGAACTCCATTCAATTAAGAAATTTTTAGATAGCATCACCATCCATGCACTTACCAGTAAAACACATGTGAAGTACACAGTGAGAGCCCTGACAATGAACCACAGCATACAACCAGCTTGCCTGCTTCAAGAAACTGGGGGCTATGTTCAAAGCCACTCACAGCCCAGCTCTTCCCAGCGAGAGGCTCCCAGACGTCTCCTCCACTCAGAGATAGATTCTGAAATAACCCATGGGGATGGCATCCACAAATTCAGCTCACTCCTGCATTCCATTCTGGACTGCCATCCCACCTTTCCTGAGCTACGCATCAGAACAGTCCCACCAAGACCACTTCCCACGAAGGATGGAAAAGAACAGCAGCCTTGTTCTAAGTGGGCAGCGGAAAAAAACCTCACCTGGCCACAAAGGACTTCCTTTCTCCTCTGAACACAGACAGCAGCCAGTGTACAATTCAGCCTCAGCAGGACAAATGTGGCCAATGTCATAAATGCCATACTTGAGTCAGGCACATATTTGTAACAGTCCTTCAAAGCTAACACTTAAGGAATACTTAAAGCACATAAAAATCTGTCGCTGCTGTAGCAAAATTAATAGAAAATATTAACATTAGAATAATTTAATTGTCAGTTAGACTTCTTTCAAGTCTATGAAAGCAGATATTGTTTGTGGCTACAAATTATTCCTAGCTCTGGAAGACATTTCTACCAGTTAACACCACTGAGGGAATGAGGCACAACACAGGATGCACCAAGAGAGTAACTGCGATGCATGAATGGCATTTAGATACTGTGCTGACATGGTGTTTGCAAATAGCTGTTATGTTCTTTTGGTATCAATACTGAAACGTAACAGAGCCCTCAGGCTTCACCTTACTCGACAGGCACCAGTCTTCACACACAAAGCCTCAAAGGATCCAGAAATACCAGTCAGGAAGATCACCTAATAAACTGTGTGTTATAGGGAAAAGCTCTCACAAGAATGATTACTTTTCCCTATCCTAGCTACAGCTCAGTGCGCTGAGGAATGACAGCTTCTGTCTGATAGGGTCTTCACCCGTCATTCGGAACAGTAACTGGACCTGACACCATCCTTAACATGTAAGTTCTTTATGGAAAAACATAACCTTTGGGTGTGATTGCATTCATGCAACTACTGACAATAATGAAAACATGATGCATAATTCAGTACTGCTGAGAGCTGGTGCTGGAAGCCTAGAAACAGGATAAATGAGGACCCTTAGCAGACATACAGAATTCAGCTAATGCCCTGCTTCTGGGAACACAGCAACCCACCAGAGGGGACAGAAGGACAATGGAAAGCTTGGGCCTCTGAGGACAGCTTCCAATTGCTTGCACTGGCAATCACAGCACCTCACCTACCACTAGCAGGAAGCCCTGGTAAATCCACCAATAGTTATCATTCTTCTGTAACACAAACAGCCTGGATGTACCTCATAAAATACTGACCGCAGCCCAGTAAGAGAGAGGGAGCTTTATCTCAAGCACAGTGTCACGCTACCCAAAGAGATGCCACCTTTGGTCTGGAGCTGGTTCCAACACCCAACTTGTGGCAAAGCGTGGCTGCTGCTCAGAGGTATTTTCACATCACTCTCTCTCCTATTTTTGCAGTCTTTCATCTCACAATACAGCAGTTGGACAGACAGCTTTCTGTAACCTAATTCCAACGCCTTAATCAAAACAAACAATTCCCACAACTCATCACTTATGATTCCTTCAGCCTCACCAGAAGAGTTCGCTACTCCCACCTGCCTCGTGATTCCTTGCCTTAAAAACCTGTCAGAAGCATGAAGACAATTTCAGGTGAAGACAATTTTTTCTTTCCTAGTGTCAAGAATCTATTTTGGTGATGAACACTACACACTCATCCAGAAATAAAGTCTATTTCAATTCTTCATTAGAAAAAAATGAAAACACCTCCATTCTCACACAAATTATGAACATGACTACAGTGCCTTTTGTACAGTTTCTATTGGTATGCCTACTCCTCACCTATCCAGAACATGCAGTAAATGAAAAGCATTTAATTTATTCCTTGGGTTCTTATAGATTACCATACAGCCTCACTAGAAATACCCACCCAGGATTCAGACCTTGAATCAGCATATCAGTAATGGCAAACAGGACACAAGGAAGAAGCCGGACTGCTGTCACCAGAGACACACATGGAAAACAATCCCTAAACTGCTACTTGCTTGCAACGCAGTTTTAAATACACAAACCATACCTAATGGTTATGATTTCAAGTTGCTGGAATGTCAGTCAACTGAAATTTGGACACAACAAGAACACATCTGGCCAAAAGCCCTGCAAGTTAATTCTAAGTCCTATGGAAACAGTTTGCTTCTAATCTAACATGCTGTAGTATTTGAAGGCATAGTGCCAAACTTAAAATACCCTCATTTCTTCCTGCAGTAGGCATGCAGCCTTCTTTAGAACCATGTACGTCGGTAACTTCCATACGCATTGATTTCCAGGTCCCCCAAAAAAGGCAATTCCTTCAATCGAAGGATGGATGAAAATAAAACCTCCAGGAAAAAATAATAAACCTCGAAAGGTGAAGATTTCATTCAATTCACTGGAGCGTGACCGGACGATACAACCAAGGTATCCCTACAGCTCTTATTCCCTTTCATTTCAGAGCACGGTCTGTCTGAGGCTGGTTTTAAGATCTTCCTGTACAACAAACACAGCACAGCACTCCGGTCTGCAGATCCCAGCATTCCCCATCAGTCACCACAGAAATCAACAGCGACACGAGCTTCATTTCACAGAGCGCCATTTTATTCTGAACAAACGACTCCCAAAGTCAACCTAACCTTCCATTTCAATCATAACTAAGCGTGCTCTTATATCTAAAAGAAGAAGAAAGAAAAAAAAAAATAGCTGCCGGGCTGACGGCAGCACGGAGCCCCGCTCTGATCTCACGTCGCGCTCCCCCCGTGTCACACAGCCGGCCCTGAGCCATCCCCGCAGGGCAGCGCCGGGCCCGGCGGCGCACGGGGGTCTCGAGCCGCGGATCCCGGCAGCGGCGCCATTTTAGGAGGCGATGAAAAGGTGGGAGGCGGGGCCAGGCCGCGGCGCTGCCCGCCGAGGGGCCGCGGCTGAGGCAGCACCGGGCCGCGCGGGCGGCGCCGAGCGGAACCGAGCAGAGCCCACCGAAGCCGCCCCGCGGCTCCGGCACCGCTCCGCCCTTCTCTTCGCAGCCCTCTCCGCGCCCGCCCGGCCAGGAGGAGCCGCCCCCGCCCCGCACCGCCGTCCCCACGGCCGCACGGCACCCTCCCCCCCGCTCCGCCGCTCACCTTCTCACAGAGGCTCTTCACCTGCCCCTCGGACAGCTGCTTGCACTCGTTGAGCTGCTCCACCCACTGGTCGAGCTCCTTGGTGAACACCTTCTCCTCCATCCCGCACGCACCCGCTCGCTCACCGCCGCCCCCTCCTCCTCCTCCGCCTCCTCCTCCTCCTCCTCACCAGCTGCCGCCGCTGCTCCCGGAGGCCCCAACAACGCGCTGCCGGCAGACGCAGCACAGCAGAAGTTACGGGAGCGGCGGGCGAAACGGCGCCCTACCCACGGCAGCTCTGCCGCTCTCTCGCTCGCACTGCCCGTGTAATGGCCGCCACCGCTGACGTCACGGCCCCAACTACACTACGGGGAGGGGAGGGAGCCGCCATGGGAGGTGACGACGCGTGCGCAGTAGCGGGGAGGTACCGCGTCTGCGCGCTATGGGCAGGACCGGCCCGACTGGCCCGACGGCACTCGAGGCTCCGCATGCGCAACTCCGCGCGGCGCATAATAGCTGGGGGGCTCGGGGCTTGCGCACTGTGAGGGGGTTATCGCGCGTGCGCGGGATGAGCCGGGGGTCAAGAGGTTTTCCCGCCCGTCCAGGGTGCGGCTGTGGGCAGCTCTGCGGGGCGGCGTTTCGGCTCCGCCCGCGGCCCTGAGGAGGTGGGAGAGCTGTGAGGGAGCGGGGTGTGGAGCTGCCCTCCTCGGGGAGCGTAGCCCGGGCGGGGTGCCTGGCTTCCTGAGGTCTTGGAGAGGGAGAGGAATGCTTGTAATTGTGCGCGGCCTGCTGCTGTCCGTGCGCTCGTAGCTCAGAGCGTGGTTATTGCAAACCTCTGGGGTGAGGGGCTGAGAGCAGTGTGCGCTGCCAGCAGTGTGCGGGGAGCTGGTGGGCCTCGGTGCGGGCGAGCACCTGCTTTGTAAAGGTACCAGTAAGAAATAAAAATAACATGGTGAAAAAGAAGCAAAAGGAATGTGAATGTGTGGCCTGTAGCAGAATATGTATTTTAGTGATCTTCATCTTAAATGACAGAGGTGCTAGTCGTGTGCATTTCCCTACAGTAACTTCCAAAGCGTGTGAAGTAACCAGTTAAAAAAAATAAAATCAGTAAAGTGGATCAGAATTTGGACATTTGCTCCTTCGGAGTTACCCACTCACCAAAGGCTTTCTGGTTAGTAGGGATCAGTTGTCTCTTGACAGGGAGTGGAAAGGGTTAAATCCTTTGCCTGCAGTTGAAGCAAAGAAACAAAATAGTGAGCAAAGGGGAAAGAATGTTTGTTCTCACTCATCAGTCTCGGTTCCTTCACGTCACACTCTCCCTATAAGATGTGCATTTTTTTTTTGCATGCCTTTCTTTAGGTGTTCAGTTTTTTTCCTCGGTGTCCTTTCCATGGGTTTGCTCATCCTCAAATGCCTGTAGTTTTGTGCCTTAAAACTAGAAGGAAAAGTGTTGTTCATTGAAAAATTGCAAGAATTTGTTTTGTGGCACTGCTTCTTCAATACCTCCCAAATAATCTTGAACACATAAATGGAAAGAAGATAAGGCAATAACATTGTCTCTTATTTAACTAGCTAAGTTAAAGTTTATTTTCTCTAGTAATTGTTCTGGCATAGTAAGATGTTTAAAGACCATATTTAGCTTTTGTTTTCATAGAGATAGTGGTATTCCTGGTGAAACCCAGATTCTGAATTCTTTCTGATACCAATGTTAGTTATGCCCTGACTACAAAAAAAAAACATTAATTACTGCTGCTCTTTTAATTTACTTTCCACAATATTCAGAAAAAAATCCAAACCAACAATTTTAGTACTCTGTGCCTTAGTCTCAAGAGAAATAAGTGCTTCAGCACCTTGCAGAGGTGATTCAGAGCAAGGAATTCCCAGCTGGTGGGCAGCCACCTGGGGCTGTTGCTGGTCACAGTTCTGCTTCTGCAGTGTGCCGCTTCTGTTGCCAGCAAAAATGAGTGATCAGAAAAGCTAAGGAGGAGAAATAAAGCCTTCTCAGCAGCAGGAAAATCTTAACTTACTTGCTTATGAAACTGCAACTGAAGTCCTGTGATGTTTTATCTGATATGTGCAGAGAAAACACACGTAATGTGTGCTGGGCAGTGCTCCTTACAGATTGCAACAGTGATTGCTGCTGTCTCTAAAGCAAAAGTGGTGGCTCCCAAATCTGCCATAGGTTCACAGGAGCCTTAGTGTTAGAGTGCTCTGCTACGAAAAGGTTCCTTTCTTGTTTGAAAAGGCAGTCATAGCTCTTAGCTCAACTAAGCACTGCTTGAGGATGTAGGGAATTCGTCGTTCCCTGCTTGCAGCTGAAGCTGTGCCATTGACTAGGAGAGAATTCAGGAGTTGGCACAGCAATATTGAGGATCCAGTTATCTGGGTGCTCACATAGAAGGGAAAAAATTGAAGTTCCATCTAGAACAAATGCTCTATTCTTTATCCTTGTGTTGTCTCAGCCTATAAGCTGCGTTTGGATCAGAAGTCAGATCTATTCCGCCTTCTTGAGAGTCATAATCAATAGCTCAATGAATTGTGGTTGCTTCTCTCTTCTCTCCCAGATAGTTATCAGAACCTTCAAAGGAAAGGGGAATAATGAAAGAATGCCTGCTGCATTGCATAAGCTGGAGGTTTGGCAGTCCTTCAGGTACACGGCAAGATTAAACTGTAAACTGGTCGGAATAATCCTCGTATTTAGTATTTGTGCCAGGCTGCTGTGTGTGTGTGGTTTGTAGCTAAGGAGATGTGCTGGGTGTGGCTGCTGTGATGACTCAAGGATTGTCCTCACTGCCATGTGCAGTCCTGGCTCCTGAGTCACTGACGAGTTGTCATATGGCATTTTTTAGGAAGGCTTACTACTGAAGCTGGCTGTGCCTGTGCTTACACACATCAGACTGATAGAGTGTCCAACTTTGTTTTTTAACAAAACCGTCTATATTAGTGCAAGCTAATGCTGTAACAGCCTGAAATGAATCTCAAATTGACTCCCGTGTACGTTAGCAATTGCAATTGTTCTGTCAATTACTGCAGTGACTCCCGCATTTCCTTCACAGTATAAGACATCAGTCAGTGTTTAAACTATGCAGAATTATATTGCAAGGCGTCACACAGCTAAATGAACATCATTTTGATTGGCCATTACAGAGTAAGCAACGTGTAAATTATATCTCTTCATATTTATCTCTATGTGAATGTTTTACTAGATCTAAATTATGTGCCAATGCATATCTGAAGTGTCTGTTGCTATGGTGTTTCAGTGCTAAATGCAGAGTTAGAATATTATGCTACATTATCTAAAGGTGGTATCTCTGGATTATAATCTAGAGTTAACTTCCTGGGTTCATGTGTGTAGGTTTTGTTGGCTTTTGTTTGTGTTTTTTTTCAGCAAAGAGTGTAGAAGTTGATGCTTCACTGTAGAAGTCATCTGCCTCTGGGGGCAAATGGACTTCCCTGATCAAATTAGGCCAGAAATACACATCTTGTGTTCAGACATCAGCCCCTTCCCGAGACAAAATACAGTGTGTTCTTTGTCTCCTTGGTCCCCTTCAGTTAGATAAGCTTTGTGATCCTTAGCAGAATGATTGCAAGAGATGAGAACTAGACAAAAAGCTATTTGTCAGATATTTGTTACGTCAGCATGAGCAAATATAAGTTCTTTATGTTTGACTCACTCCAGGGTCCAGATAGGGCATGACAAATCCCTGACATACTAATACTGCCCTTACATTTAAGACTTCCATTAAATGGTTTCTGTGAAGGGCAGTAATCAGTAAACACAGATACTTTGTAGCCAAAAGACCGAGGGCAGGGTTGCTCATTCACAAATATTACATCTGTAATAGTTAGCAGAGCTGAAGTAGTTCTGGAGAGTTGGGCACTTGGCAGCGTTCCACTTCTCACGCTGCATCCACCGCTGATGATTGCACCTCGCAGTGCCCTTGGGCACGCAGCCGGGCTCTTCCTCAGCTCTGAAGATGCTGCACATCCTCGTAAGGTGTGAAAATCTTTAGGGCACTTTGCAAATACTGCCTCTGCCAGGACAGACACTTTGCCACTGTTGCCAGGTAGACAAAGACATTATTTCAGCCCCGTTGAGGGGACAGCAATTAAGTAACCTGCCAAACATGATGAGAGCATTTAGAGTCAAGTTCAGTAGATACTTGGGGACGTGCTTAAATTCCTTCCTTTTAAACCAATACTGTAAACATCTGTGAAGTGCCGTGCTAAGTTTCTGCCAGAGGACTTGAGGCTTTCTGGTGCTCCTGTCAGGCTCAGATCAGCACAACTCGCATCACAAGTATTCTGTTTGGGAAAGCTCTCCTTGTCTTGAGTCTTTTATTTCTATAAACGATGTTTAAGCGCTCAGGAACACAACACATTATTAATGCACACAATCAGTAGTTATGGAGATGCGAATCAAGCTTTTTATTGCTGTATCTTTGCTTCTTGTGCCAGGATATTATGGAGTAATCACTGTCTCTGGCTTCTAAATGATTGGCTTTAGGAATCCAAAAAATGCAGGACTTGTAAGAGGTGCTTGTGTTGTTTTTTTCCCAAGTTTCAACATCACAGCAGAGGATTGCTCTGCTTGTTTCTGAGATCTCTCACACAATGTGACAACTGAATTAGGACTAGAGCCAATGCAGGATGCGTTTTCTCTCCTCATCTTGGTGCACAGACTTAAGGAAAAATGTGGAAACTAATCCAGAAGTAGGCACCTAGCTAATGTAGGTCAGGAGCCTTCAGCTCTGTAATGAGGTTTGTTTTATTTGGAATGAGGCTACCATTCTATTAAATGCCTATAAATCCAGGAGAGCTGAGTACCCTTCCTGCAGATCTAAGAATGTTAAGCTTGAACTCGGAGATATTTTACCTGTGCCTGACTGTGGCCTTGTGAAGTGCTGTGATAATGGGCAAGAAGTACACAGTGCAGTTCAGCCAACAGAAAGGACTCTTACCTTTATCCTGTCATTCTTTTTCTTGTCCTGAAGTTCCAGTTACACTTAAGACAGGCAACACCTACCCGCTGTAGTCATTCTGTAGCCTGTTTATTTGAGTGAATGAGGGAGATTTTCTGCGTTGTAGCCAATGCTTTTTTTCTTTTTTCCTTTCTCAGATGTTTACTCTTCAGTTAATGCTACCTTACAGTGACTATCCTATTGACCTTCATCTGGTTCAAGCGACTGGAGAATTAAACTATAACAACTGCAGAAAGGATTGGAGCAAGAAAATGTGAGCTATTCCTCCCCCACTTTCCTGCCAGGTAAATATATGTTTTCTTCGTAGCACTGCCAGAGTGTTGTAGTGTAGGAAGCCTGAACCCAGCTGAGGAGGACTGTACCCATGGCTTCTAGAAGCATGTTAATACTATACCAATGTTGTTTTGAAGATACCGCAGATGTCTTGCATGACAAAACAGGAATGCACAATCTGCTAAAGGTGCCTTGCTAAACTACTGCCTTGGCACTCAGCTCAGTGCCAGTTCTCAGCAGTGCAGTGTCCTGGCTGCTGCTTTAAATACTTGCTTTGAATAGAGAGGCAGAGGAGGGAAAATTTCTTTTGAAATCTATTTGTGTATGTGCTAAAGGACAAGGGAGAACTGTGTTATATTCACTGCATAGGAACATTTATTCTTAGACCCTGATATTGTTTCACTGGGGTTAACAAGTGTATTATTAGTGATCGCTAGTTACAAATAATAACCTGACCTTATTTTTAACCTAATACTGAGCAGATTTCATTGTGTAGATTCACTGCTGTGCTTCACTCTTCGAATATTATCATTAAGAATTTCAGTGCCTTCCATTTTAGATGTTAAAAATAGGTGACAAGTTGGATAATAATTATCATTTTGAATCTTGTTGCAGCCTTACATAACTGCGTTCTCACCAAAAGCCTTATTTTAAGGGTTGGGTTGAAGAACATACTACAGTAACCTGGAATTATTTGCACTACTGTAGCTGGGTTATGCAAAGCCTGGATAGAATATACTTCTTTTTTGAAGAAAGTTTGAGAACCAGTTTAATATTCATGAAAACAAAGGTGCACAGACTGACTCAGGTCTGGCACTGTAAAATCATGTGTTGTCAGCACCTCTCAGTCCTTAGCATAAGCATTCTTCATAATCCTGTATTGCCCAAACAGAAACTCCCAGTCATGCCATCTCACTGCCAGTCAAAATATTTGCGTGTGCACTAATGGTAAATATATAAACATGCAAAATGAAATGACAATGGTAAATTACCTGGAGAGAGAATATCCCCAGGTGCATGGAGCTGCACTTGATAAACCTGAGTTTCTTCATTACTAACTCTGTGTTCTTACATGAAGCACTGTTTCCAGTTTTCCTAGCTAAAACTATTTACCCTGGCAGCCTTGAGCTGGGCCACCTTCCTCAACCTTTCCTCATAATTTCTGTCAAATTCCCATGACTTGGGAAAGGTAAAAAAATGACTGGAAAGGGCAGTGGTCAATCCTGAGAACAAAAGATATCTCCTTCATATGCACCTGACTTCCCAGTTCTCCCAGTGATAACTGTAACAGCAAACCCTGATCTCCTCTTTGAGTAATGCATTTTACTTATTTAATCTGTGGGATTTAGTGATCCCCGCTGCACCTCGTAAGGCTCGGAAACACCATTCTAACTTGAGAAGCTTTTCCTCTAAGGAGGTGTATGATGGCAGTGAAAAATGCACTCTTACAAGTTTGGTTAATAAAATTCTTTCATCTAACCTAAAAACAAGAATTGACTGTGAATTGAATCGTTAATCCCTGGTAAAACTGGTAGATGGTAATGACAAAGCTCTCCTCATTTCACCTGGAACTGGAATCTTTGTAAGCAAAGATATGATTTTCCTTTTTATAGATACACTTGCTATTGGTGGTAACTGTTGAGTACATTCAGTAACAAACAGCACCCCCCTTTTGTTAACCCTGGAGTACAGGTGTCCAGAACGTTTTGCTGTGTGTCTGTTGTGCAGGTGCTGCAGACACACACCTAGTGAAGTCCAGACCAATGAATCCTGAAGGCTTACAGGCCCAGACTGCCCAACTTCATGCTGCTCTTGAGCTGTGTTAGATGAAGAACTAGCTGAATTTTCTTTGTAGGCAGTAAGTGCATCCAAAAGCTGTCAGTTCCAAGTTCAAAAGCAGAAGCTAGTAATAGCCTTACTTGCTGCTGTGAGATACACAGACATCCAGGTCATCAAAATGATAAGATAAATTATTCTCAGCTGCATAACTGTATGGAATCTACCTGCTGTGTTGCAGCTGTTTCTAGATGTAGCCCCTCAATGTACCTTTTCAAGAAGGGCTGTCTCTTTCCTGAGTATGGTTACACTTCCCTTACAAAATAGTTTCTGTTACAAAGGAAGATCATTCATATTTGTACTTCTAGTATTCCAAGCAACTTAATTGGTTCAGCTACTACTGTTCTGATTTTTTACAATGTCCAATTGGAGGCAGCAGGCAAACTTACCAAAATGAAGCAGGAATTATTCATGTGTAAGTAATAACCAGGTGAAAGAATTTCCACAATAAAGTTGTGTACGTTGCAGTAGCCTTGAGATAGGGCTGACTTCTTTCACAACAAGTTCGTCTGCTTTCATGGGACAATTTAATATGCTTCTGTTTTCTCTTACTCTGTGCTATGGAACCAGTACAGCAGGAGGTTCTGAGGGCTGGGGGTCAGGAGAAGGAAGATGTCTCTTGGATCAGTTCTCACTTCCCCTGCTGTGAGGTGTTACAGGAGCTATTATAGATTTTGCTGGTTGAATAGTTTTGTTTATTGGTTGATTTTTGTTTTCCTTAAACTGAAATGCACTTTCTTCAAAGTGTAAGTTATCCTTAAGAGGAGATTTGTGACTTCTAGGTGAACCAACTTATTATTTTCTTATGATACAAATTGACAACCTTTTGGGCAGCACCACTGAATGCAAATGCTTGCCTTTTGTTCATGTGTTTTAAATGTAAATGCTTTCTAGGTGATCGTTGGAGGAAGTTCCTGTAGATATTCCTTTTACAGAGGAGAGCCCATGATGTTACACAAAAAAAACCAGCAAACCATACATCTGCTGGAAGAGAATAGCTGTAACATGGCTTTTTGTTCACTGTTTTTCTGTACCACCTTTTGCCCCCAGAAGACTGTAGGTGTTCAATGGCTTGCAAGCACAAAGATAAAATCACATATCCTGAAAAGCAGTTATTTCTAAAATGGAAGCCACAGTGCTGGACACAAGATTTTCAAGTAAAGGAATAAATAACCACTTGTCCTCTTGAAACTACCAGTGCATGCATTTAAAACCAGGACGATACCAGCAAAGCATAGCTTTACTGCCAGGGAAACAGGCACGTATGCATGTAACAGGTGTGAGCATTCAGTCTGATACTTACCTGTGTATCCAAATCACTTCTTTCTGTGATGAGATTGTGAATGTTCTTTTTTGTTTTTGTAATTAAAGGGTGGAACAGATGGCAAAGACTTAGAGCTCTATTCATTAAATTAAAACAGAGAATGTTTCCACATTATAATTTAATATAATAGGATTTTGCTTCAGTGAAATAAAACTATAGAGTCCAGTGCTTGGGAATGTTTACTATATGAGAAGCTTCACTGTTAAAAGATTGTCACTGAGTCATGCTGTGAGTCTCTGCCAAATACCAATCATATGACCAACTCAGCTAAAGAGGCTGTTTCTTTATGCCAACATGTTTCCATTGCCACCCTACAGTGAACCTTTTTTTGACAGTACACCTGTGGGTTTTATGTAACAGCACAGGGGCACACTGTGGCCCGACTGCATGCGTTTAAAAAAGAGTCGATACAAGCAAAAGCTAGCTGGCCTGGTATGAAGAACTGTGCAACAAATGGAGTTGGGTTTGGTGTGATTTGAAAAGTAGAATTATGGCAGAGAATCCAAATCAAACATTGATGTTCTTAGAAATCAGTGAATGTTTTGCCAGTTTCAGGAATCAAGATGCTACTCTCTGGATGGCAACCAGTTTCAAAAGTTCAGTCAAGAAAGGTTTTCATTTTCTTTTTTTTTTTAATTCCTGTGGTTAAGATAGGTGAAGTCTGAGCAGCAGTGGGCAGTGCTAGGCTTCCCTACATCTGAAAAAGTATTTACACTCAGTTATAAATATTTGAGTGAAACTTATCTAAGCTCCATTTTTGGGATCTTATCTATTATTATTATTGAGATTTTTTTAAATCCATGGGAAGTTACAACAAGTGTTTTGCACCAGCCGTTCTTTGTTCTAGCAAGCTCCAGCTTTAGATACAAAGTATATCCTACGCCACTCCGCCAGGGTTAGCGACCAATACATTGTCTTCTGCATGCAATGACGTTTCCTCTGTTAATTGGGCACTGTGGCAGAGATAAAACAATCAGGATGGAAAATAGCAGAACAAAGAACACACAGGCTCACAATGGGCAAAGGTATTTCTTCTTCAACTCCTATTGCCACTAAAATGCACTGCAAATTAATTTATCTCAGTGATTACAGAATAAGAAAGTTAAAGGGACGAGCACACGTGCCACAGGAAGTTTGAGCTGCACTTCTCTTCACTATAAGCTGTGAAATTGCTGTTGTGCTGCGTGTGAATAATTGAGAGGTCACAGAGGATAAGGCGGACATTTATGTTTCATTCTGGTTTCCCTGTGTTCAGTGATATCAACAACATTGTTTCCACCTTCAGTAATGCTGCATTTGCTTCTAAGACTTATTGCAACAATGATACATTTGTTAAATGCACACATTGATCTTTTACTGAGATCACAGTTCTTCACATTTTCGACATTGAAATACTGAAACATTATCTGGAGCGTGATGAAGCTTTTGGTAGAATGTATGGAAATGAAGAATAGGGTGGGTCATATTTGAGCATTTAAGGCAGTCTATCCCAGAACAAAAGCAGAACAATACTTTAAGATCAGTGGGTTTTGCCAGGGAGCCTGATACTTGGTGCACCTCCTGCTGCATGAAACAAGGAGAATTGCACTCTTTCCTCCTGACCAGTTTCATTTTGTCAGGAAAGGTGAACTTCATGTATATTTCATCTGTTCATATATTTGTGATATATATATGTATTCATATATATTCATATATATATATTTCATCTTAATGGAGGAATGTCCTTACAATGGTTGTTTCTCACTTCTGCACTGAAATTGTTAGCTTAAGGTTTCCCCCCGTACAAAGGCAGGGCTTCTGTTTTTGAGAGGCACTGGCACAGTTAAAGACTAGATGGTGTTACTGAATGCTTTCTCCTTTGTCATCAAGTGTTCTTCAAACCACAGTGAAATGTGGTCTATGAGATAATTAGCAGCTGTGTTCAAGTATCTCAAGGGAAGATTTGAGCTCTGAATTTTGAGAGGATGTTTGTATATCACACGTAATTCCGTCTTGTCACAGTCTATGTAAGCTTTCTTTGACAAGAACAGAAAAAAAAATTAACCAATGAGTTCAAAATACTGCTAGGAACATAACTGTTTTGTTTCAACATCTGTTACATCTTCTCCATTAAATTCACAGACTGCTGTTGAGCAGAGCTTTACAAAGTACAGCTTTCACTGTCAGAATTGCACTACTCCCCAAACAGTATGGAAGGAAACCTGTAGCACTTCAGAATAATGCTTGATGTAAGGCACCTCCCTCCCTTTCCAGTTTTCTTCTTGTAAGGAGGTTCCTGCTTGCATGATGGTTCCCCATTTCAGTGATGCTACGTTTGCTGACTGGGCAGAGCAGCGGAGGGGTACAGCATGCAGACAAATAGTTTCCCAGTATCACAGCACTTAACAGCAGAACTCATTTGATTATCATCTCTTCTCTGTTTACCCTTTTAAAGCTTTTTCAGTGCAGTCCTAAAAGAATTCAAATGTCATTCTTTTGTGGGGGAGAACATCACATTTTAATACCAATCCTAGCTAGCATTTCCCATCAGTAGCTCTTTCTGAAGGCCTTTCAGAAGTCAATACTGGTGAGGAATCTGACAGTTCAGCAGTAAGATTAGTTCATTCACCCCGAATCACTTCAGCCAGCAGAACAGCAAGGATGGAGCATGAGCCAGATGTCTTCTAGGCTACTGTCAGATCCAGTTTGCCACCTCATACAAAATCTATTTTATTTTTTGTTCTTGGAGAACTTGCTAGCTCTGCCTACCATCTTATCTTGGAGCCTCAGAGGTACTGCTTTTCTTTCTGAGATCTTCCAAGAGTTCTCTCCCATCTTCTGACTGAGATGCAGTGAATGAAATCTGCTTTTTTCAGCTCCAACTCAAACCTGTGGCTCATCTAGGCTTTTTCTAGATTTGGTTACATTAAGCCCCCATTTCCCTACTTAAACTCTGAGCCTTCAAAATAAATTTTTAGATAGGATTATATGGGAATACGCATTAGTAGAGTAAGAGATTTTAAAAATAGCCTAGCTTCTAAATCTCAATTTAACCTCATAATTGTCCCAGTATTTGAGCTCAAGGCATGGCGACGTATCAGCTTAGTGCTGATGAAGAACAGCCATGTGTAGCATGTACTTCATAAATACAAGTTTGTGAAGCGTTCTAAACTGTTTGTTACACATGGAAGTTCTCATTAAAGGAGGGCCTGTGTGGTTTTTCTCACCCGTGCGTGTGAGCTGCATGCAGTGAATCTTAGACAACTCACAGAAAGAGTTGCTACTGTTTGTTTCTGTCAGTCAACACTTCGTTAATCCTGCCACAGGGTTGGCATCACTCCTGCACAGACGGGCTGGCAGCAAGTCACAGGCCAGAGAGCAACACCAAAAGGGCCACACAGCTCTTATATTTAAGTGTAACACAGAAGGCAAGATTAAATAAGAAGAAATTAAGATGTGCCCTAATTTTAATGGTATGAATTTTTTGTTCCATTTCAATGTTACGTAAAATTTTGCTCATATTTAAAGATTTTGTGTTGCAATTACTGAATTTAAGTAGCTGTTATGCTATAAGGCCATAAAATAAAAGAAACATTTATTTAAAACTCAAATACAAAAGCAGATGTTTTTACTATTAGTTGTTTTTCTAACATTCAAGTGATTCCTAGCCTTCTATCTCTTGCAGCTGTCTAGCTCAGAGTGTTTGTGCTTCTTGCTAGCAATGTCAGAGACCACCTGGAAAATGCAACAGAAGAAAACTGGTAAAAATTCTAAAATATGTACAATAAAGAGGAAATAATTGTAATTGAATTTTAATTTGATAGTGTATATAATGTAGTGACTCAACAGAGCCTCCCAAAAAATACAGTATAAACCAGACAGCCCCAGTAACATTTTCCATACAATTCAGACTCCGTTTCAGTGAATCATGTGGAACAGCAGCTTAGCTTGCCTTCCAGGTGCTTCTGCAGAAGTTTCAACTCCTTGTGCCACCTCTGTAGGTAACATCCTGCTGTTCACACCCACTGACACCAGCAGTCGCAGACACTGGCTGGCCTCTTGGCCTACACTGTGGGTACTGTTAACAAGTACCTGTTTGTTCCTCTGCACACCTGTAGTCACTCAAGGCTGGTGATAGAAAAACACAAGGTAACTATAAGATACCCATTCATTTTCTGTTAGTATCTGGTTTTGTAAGTTTTCTGTAAGGAGGTGTTTCCTCCCACAAGTGCCCACTTGTATGTTTTTTCTGATCTTTCACTACTATGTGGATTCTCATTTGTTATGTATGAATACTGATTCCTCTGGTATGTCATTAGTTCACAGTGCAGTCAATTAATTTAGACATAAATATTGGAGAAACTTAATGAGAACACGAGTGCAGTATTATTGCTATGAAATTACTTGTTTTTTTCCCCCTAGATATTGAACAAGCCAAAGTCATTGTTTGGTGTTTCAGTGTGTAAAGCCACAGCTGCAGTTTTACGAGCACCCTGTACTGCCTTCAGCAGCCATCTTTTCCCTGTGCCCCTTTTCCCATTGCAGGCTACTGCTGGACCCTTACCACGACTTTGTCAGGCTGTTGTGCAGGAAAGGGATCCAAGTTCAAAATACCCATCTTTGGTCAGGTTCTTTTAGTCAAGACCAAGTCCTTGACTGGGTTCACTGCGCAACCCCACGCGCTATTTCACCAGCACAGCTTAGGGAAGGACTGGACTGGAGACAAACAATGTGACTTTGAGCTGCATGCATCAGAACTGCAAAGAAAACAAAAACAAAGCCCCCAAACCCAAGACATTAATCAAGCTGTAAGAAACATTTGTTTTACATTTGTTTTGAAGCAGTTTTGAAATAAAGTTGCAGATCACTCGTAGATGAAACGTGTTTAGTTAGGATAAAAGGCTACAGACAAAGCTAAAAGTGGCTTCTAATCATACAGAATCAACATATACAGAAGTAGTCAATGTGAGTTCTAAATAGGTAATACCCAGTGAATATTTAAATACTAGATATTTTATACTAAATAATACTAAATAAATATTTTTAAATCTTTCATGTTTGTCATCCTGCTCACCAGGGTACAGCCTACAATCATTTTTTCAGGAGAAAAAGGGTTTCATGGGCAGTGGTGGATTACTAGCTACTATTCTCTCACAGCACTGAAAAAGTATGCTGAAAATAGCTTTTAGCTAAGATATTCCTCCTAACTTCTTTTGCTCATTAGCTTTACTTGTGTTAATGATGCTGTGGCTGGAAAACCTAAAAAGCAGAAATAGCTGTGGAGCTGTTATCTGTAAAAATAGGTTTGAAGTCTTGCACAGAAGAAAACTACGTTTGTTCAAGCTGTACGGAAGATTTTTTCACCTGGCAACTGGTTTCCCTTAAAATGATAAGGCATTAAAGCCTGAACTAAAAAAAATCACTTTGGCTCTTCCAGTTCAGGAAATTTCTATGAGACTAGTTTTTTTAACTGAGTGTTTTTACAGGCATGAAGGACTCCCACATATGTAGCAGTCGTGTTCACCACTATGGCTTCAGAACACGCCCTGGGGTTTCTGATGCTGAAAGTAAGCCTGTAGTATTATTACATCCTTAGAAATGGTCGCAGTGATTTCAGCCTCATCTGTTCACTGGCAGCCAAAAGACATCCGGTTGTTTCAGGGGCAGGAGCAGGCTCTATAGCCACACCTGCTGGCTGGCTAGCCGAGCACAGGGCAGGGAGTTCCTAGTAAGCCAGTGAAATGACAGGAAGGTGTACAGACAGCATCCGTAATGGGAGCAGTGCTGTGTGTTACCGCATGCAGAAACAAGCCCACGTTGGTTTGCAGTCTATGGGAGTCACTCGTTTACGAATGTGTGCATAGTTATGAACTTATATCTGTTGTTATGTTCATCATATTTCAAAAGTGCACGTTGCTATGGTATAGAGAATTTCCATCTAGTGCTGTCCAGTTTCTGTTCTCTGCTTAAATTCTCCTCTCCTCTCCTCTCCTCTCCTCTCCTCTCCTCTCCTCTCCTCTCCTCTCCTCTCCTCTCCTCTCCTCTCCTCTCCTCTCCTCTCCTCTCCTCTTCCTTTTTTTTCCTTTCTTTTCTGCCATTCCACCTACTTCAATATCATCTGGGATGTCTGGATCTTATTCTATTGCTATGTAACCTAGTTCATGCTTTTTTGGCTCGTCTTGCTGAATTGGTGCAGGGTCTTGATGGAAGGTGAGTTATTATTTTAGCTTCCAGTTCTAGGGTAGGTAAGGGCCCTAGAGCTTTAACTAATTATGCTGGAGAAAATATTCCCTTTAGGAGCAGTCTGCTGGCTGCAGACTGTCCCAAAATACTTCTCTACTTTGTTAGATGGGGTAATGAATGGACTCTCAGAGTAGCTGTGGCAACGATACACTGACTCAAGATTTTTTTGGCTGCCCCTTTCTTTCTGGAGCCAATATCTTTACTTCCAGATTGCATTTGTGAATTCTGTGCTGCTTTTTAAGCTTTACATGCATAAGACTGTATGTAGTTCCTATAGTTGTGCTTGTTAAATGAAAATGTGCAGGTGAGAAGGATAGGAACTCTGTAGCAACAGAGGCATTTGTCCTTTAGTGATTGAGAACATCTGATTTAAGTGTTCAGTTCTTGCTTAAGTAGAATTACCTGAAGCTTTTTCTAAGAGTCTCTGCTCCTCTCCCTTCACCATTCAGATGAAGAACACTCTTCTAACCTAACCAAATAAATTAGATGGCTGAAATAGATGGGTTAACAGCCCTGGTATACCAAAAAAATCTTGTCATAACTCTGAAAGACTCTCCTCCGTCCATGGATTTCCATTTTTGTTTTCAGCTGCCACAGCTTTATAATGGCAGCCAGTTCTGAACTGAGTCACTTGGTAATGTCTCTTCATGCTGTCTGAGTGTGATTTCTCCTAAAAGAAACCCAAATAAACACAACTGAGACAAAATCAATCTTGCAGGAAGTTCTCTAAATGTTTGTGACAGGATTTTGAAGGGTTAAAAAGACTTCTGAGGAATCCAAATAGCATAATGGATTGGCTGTTTTCCTCTCTCTCATATAGTTCAATTCAAAGCTACATTTCAAGTAAAAAACGTAATTGTTCCAACTTGACACTTTCTGAAAATGTATCCGTGATTCAGTCAACACATCATCAACAAGAGAAGTGGCCTCACAGGCTTAGACAGATTTCTCACCACAGATTTTAAAGGGCAAAAGAGAACCAGACAGAATCAGACTGTAGTGCCCTCCCCTCTGAGCAGCACAGCAGCCTTTCTGCAAATGCTGTGATTCAGTCACTGAAGGAGATCTTGGCTGCCAGTCTTTAATTTCCCCTGTTCCCCATGAATGAATGAGGTCCTTCATTTCTCTGAAGCAACAGCCCTTGCTATGGCCAGTGAAAGTGCATCAGAAAAGCCTGCTAGTGGAGGCTTCACTGGTCTGTGCTAAACAAGTACTTTGTGTCTTGTTCAAGTTTCAGTGGCGTTAATAGGGATGCCTGGTATCACCGCTAGCACTGTGGATTTGTAGATGAGATCTTTATCATTTATTTTAAGATCTAATGAATAAGCTTTCTATGTAGAAGAGTACATTTTAGGTATGCTCTTACAAATGAAACAGAACAAGCTAGTAAAAAAAGAAAGTGCATCACAATTGCATTAATCTTCCTCCCTCTGCTCTCTCTCAAATCTTTTTATGACAGGGGATTGACTATTGGATTTTTTATTGTTCTTAATGGATATGGCAGAACCAAAACCCATTTCCGTTCCCACTGACATCAGGGGAAACAACATTCAGCTCTGAGCAGAACGATTTTTTTAGAACCATTAGCATCTCTAACTGCATTTCAGTGAACATGGTAATTATAACATCAGTGAGTTTCAATCAACTGACTGAAATGCGTATGGCACAGTGGACTGGCACTTCTGCTCCTCTTTGGCACTTCTGAAAATCCCAACTTCTCTAATTAGCAATCTCTGATGTGCCATATGTGTGGACATTCCCAATTAAGCTGGCTGAATTACTCACATGAGCTAAGGCTATGGGCTGTAACAGAAGGGGGTTTCTTGTAGGAAATGACATTTAGTGGATTAATTGAAATACTTCACAAAACAGCATCCACACGTTCAGCTGTACTAATAAGAGAAAATAGCGTGTTTTGAAAAATTGAAGTATTGTCTTCTGGTCACATTCGGCTGTTTCAGAAAATACAAGCAGTGAAATCTCAATCAGGTGCTCCTAATGCATGCACCTCTTGTATCTCGAATCTCCCTGCCCATTTAAGTGTAACAGAATGAAATTCGTCCTTTAGAGCAGAGACACCTCCTGTCTTCAGGTAATTCCTCCTGGAGGGGGAGATGCTGTGCCAAGTTATTGCAAAGTGGGGACACAGGCTGAATAGACCGCATTTATGCTTTAGCTATGACTCTGAATGGATAAGCCTGCAACCCGATGGCAGGTTATGGTTCTAGGTCTCAGACTTTGCAGAAGTTCAATTAAATCAGAGATGGTTTCTCTGCCTAGGAGATATTCCAATGTGATACATGTCCAGACCAAAATTCTTGAAGAAAAATCATGGAAACATTTCAAGTGCAAATGTTCACAGAATCACAGAATGGCCAGGGTTGGAAGGGACCTCAAAGATCATGGATCTCCAACCCCCTGCCACAGGCAGGGCCACCAACCTCCACATTTCGTAGCAGCCCAGGCTGCCCAGGGCCCCATCCAACCTGGCCTTGAACACCTACAGGGATGGACGGGGCATCACAGCCTCTCTGGGCAGCTCTAAGGGGTTGGACTGGCGGATTCCAGAGGTCCCTTCCAGTCCCCACAGTTCTGTGATGCGCTGTGATTCAGTGATTTGTAATGCCAAAATATCTCCATGCAAAGAAGTATCTGTAGATAATCCCTCATCTGTTTAGGGATGGCACAGCACTGGTATAATAAATACACCACCTCTTTTGTGGCCAATGTGCACTGAGAATCCTGGGATGAGAGCCAAAGCGAAGTGACGTCACCCACAGCTGACAAGAGGGCCACCTGGGGCAGGGAGGGCAGCAGGCAGCCCAGGCAGCAGTGCTGACCTTTGGAATAAAGGAGAACAAGAGGTGGCCTTTCAGCCAGCCCTGCTTTCCTGCTGCTGCCTGGCAAAGCCAGGGAACGCACACAGGGAAGGGAAGTGTTGCTGGACGGCACTGCGCACAGCGACAGCTCCCTGCAGTCGGGGCCATTGGTAACCAGCAAAAATCCACGTGTCCTTCCGCTATTTGCTTTAAGCACAGGCTATTTTGGTCAACATCCAAGCTTTCTCCCCAGATTGGAAATTTGCTTTAGATTCCCATTTTCATTTGACAGCAAAATATTTTAGAAACAAACTGTTCAGGCTGTTTTGTGCACAAAGCAGCCCATGAGTCACCAGATACTGTGCTCGTGATGCAGCTCTGATTTCCAAGCTATTTCTCTTTTGTTTAACAAAAAGGGAAAAACCAAAAATCAAAGACACACACAAAAACCAAAGCTGTAGAAATGTCATTTCTCTAACTGTGGCTAACTGTCTTCTGATTTCCCATACCCACTGTCTGTCCTTGTGTTTGCACTCCACTTCCACGCCCGGTTCCACTTCCCACTCCTATTTTTACTGCTTCGTAGGAAGACAAAACTTTTAATTAACTTGAGGCACTAACGATTCTTTGAACATGTAATTAGTAATTATGCATAGATAGATGTATTGATTCAAGAGGAATAACGCCTGAGGGCTGCACTCGCTGCACTGCCCGAAGGTTTCTGCAGCCGGGGGCTGTCAGCTCCGCTCTGAGCACAGCCGACCACAACCAGCAGTCAGCGCAGCGCGTCTCCAAACCCCACCTTTAAACACGAGCCGTGTCGAAAGGAGGAAAGCTGCGCACAGCCCGGCGGCGTCGCTGCCATGGCAACGGGCGGCGCGCTCCAGTGACGTCATGGGCGCGTCGGGCGCGTCCGCGTTCCCTCGGAGCGGCGCCCCCTGGCGGTCGGGCTGTCCCAGCGAGCGGTTGAAATGGCGGGGGGGCTCCTTATTTTTGGAAAATCCTGAAGTGAGCGGGCGCGTTGAGCTCGGGGAGAAGGGGAGTCAGTAAGAACAAGTATGAAGCAGTGGTGCTACTCTCTGTGCAGAGAGGCTGGTGCGGAGCTGTTGGTTTGGTGTTCCCTTCTCTGTGGGCGGTGTGCCCTCAAGGAAATAAGCACGCAGTTTGCTGGAATACATTGAAAGGATAATTGAGTTCAGTTGGTAACTGAAGTCAGCAGTTTGCCTCAGAATAGCCGACCGAGTTGAAGAGTTTCATGCTCTGTTTCTTTGCAAGGATGGAGCAGTGTGCTCAGAGCAGCCCTGTGCTTGTGAAAGGAAAGGAGATGGCTGCGGGCTGCCGGCAGCTGCTGCTGCACGGGGAACACGAGCAGTGTGTGATGGGTGACCTGCCTTACCTGTCCTTCTCTTGGAACCTTGGGTTTGGCCTATGGGAACCTGGGCAGGTCCTGCTGGGGAGATGGGACAGCATGAAGGAGAGTGACCTGGAAATGCAATGAAGTTACTGAGAGCGTGGAGTGCTCTCATCATCAGCAAAGCAGGCAGCTTCCTTCGTTCCTCCTTCTCAAGCTCTCGGTCGATGAAAGGACGAGGTACTTGAGGAATGGCTCAGTTCTACAGAAATTCTGCACAAATGTAATGTTTACCAAAGATTAAAATACAATGACTGTGCTGCCGAGTGCTGCCTTCTTATTTAATGTAATCCTTTATCAAATATTATTTTCCTGTTAAAAGACGAATCGGTAACAACTGGAAAGAAGCTTCTGATGAGTGTTTTTTTCATCTATTTCTGTACTACTTAAGTGGTTTGCAGAGTGGAAGTGTTACTCATGTTCTAGACTGAATGCTGCAAGGATTTTTTATTTTTTTTCCCCCAGTTTTCTGAAGGGCTGTTTTAATGGACAATTCCGATGGCTGCATAGAAAAATCCCTCCAGGCACTGCATGAGAAAGTCACTTCTGAAGTTGTTTCCATCTGGTTCTGACATTTGTTGAGTTACAAGTATAGTATTGATTTCACTATGGGCTTTTTAAACGTTTTCAGTTTAACAATAACAGCAGTAATGCACTTAAATTCATTAAGTGGGGAAATACAGAAATCATTAACTTCAGATATAAATCTAAAGTGATTATTTACTACAGGTTTTGTTTCAAGATGCATTAATCCACCAAGGGCAGGGCCTCCTTGTTACAGCCGAGCCAGGTTTTTGAAACTAGACTGGGTTATAGTTAACTGGATCTTGAAACCATGTGCCACACAACGAGCAGAACAGAAATCAGCTGGTTCTTCAAGGGGGGGGGGAGTTACAGCTTTCAGTTTCCTGATGAAGTAACCGACCACACTTGTTTCTCTACCAGGTGAAACTGAAAAGAAAACTTTGAGTCAGATAATGCCAAAGCACGCGAGGCTGTCCTGTTGGGTATGACTGTGTCTAAGCCTGCTGTGCTGCCTGGCAGGGGGCTGAGGATCAGCATCCTCTGCTGTGAGCACTGGATGCCTGTGCACAGCAATGGCCGAGCATCCCAGCAGGCTTCTTCCAAAGAAACAGAGAAAGATAAGGGGGGAGGGTTTGGTAGGGACTTGGTTGGTGTCCACATCCAGTAAAGCAGTGAAAGAGAAAAGCTTTAAGGAAATTGTGACCTTTTTGTTTCTTTTGCTCTCTCCAGTGTTATCAGAGGGGAAATGTTCTTGCTGAGATTTTGCTGAAATGGTTTGTGAGCCATGTGGAAGCTACGTGGGATTTCAGAATGGACTGATAGAGGATTTCCAGGCAGTGGTGACCTGCAGGAGGGTGTGGGGATGACTCGAGCTGCCTCCAGGACGGTGCTCTCACTGCTGGGCCTGGGCACCTGCAGCAAGGTGCATGTTAATAGTAAAATCACCAATGCTGTTAAACTGACATTAATTATTAAAACAGGGCCTGGCTTGCACATGCTTTTTCTTTCTTAATGCTCTTTCTCCCCTGTGAGGCAGCTAGAGCTAAACATAAACTCCTCCAGCATTAAAGCTGGAGGACTGGCAGTGGGATGTAAAGTTACAGCACGTGGTGGGAGGATGGAAGTGCAGAGAGGACGGCAGGAGCCGTTTCCCACGAGTGTGGGAGCAGTACTGCAAGGACTGCAGAAGGAGCAGTGCTTATTCCTCGGCCTCTTCAGAAGGCTTGTCCCCTCCCATCAGCTGCATCCCAATCCTTGCCAGCCAAACAGTTGAAACAGCCGTGTGAGTCCCCATTTGGCTCAGCACTCACAGGCCCAGTCCAGAAGTAACTCGGGATCAATGCCTCTCAAATGCTCGGATGACTGGAGGCAAAACAAACAGGCAGACGTGCGAGCGCAGCGTTCATTTCGCTCACTTCAGGATGAGCCTCGTGCTGGTTACGACCTTCTTACAAACAGAAAGGCGCGGAGGCACACGGAGCCGCTGCCCCGGCGTTCCGCGGCCGGCTGCCAGGGCTCTGCGTGAGAAGCGGCTCAGGGCTCGGGGAGGAGCGGCGTCAGTCCGTGCGGCTCCCATCCTGCGGGACGGCCCGACCCGCGCCGTTTGCTCTTTGTCCCCCGCTGAAATCGCTCAGCGTCGTCACCTGGAATAAACGAGCCGCCCAGCTCAGCAGCAGCTCGCGGCGCAGTGCGAAGTCCTCGCTGCGGGGCGAGGCGGTTCCCGTGCCGCACTCAGAGCCGCCGTTTCCGCGTTCCGCCCCGCAGCCGTTCCGTCCCAGGCGGCGCAGCGGGCCGCCCCGCACAACAGAGGGGCGTGCCGAGCCGAGCCGAGCGCTCCCTCCCCGCCCGCCCCCGCGACGTCGGCCGGCCCCGCCCGGCGCGGAGGGAGACGCCATTGCGGGTTGTTTGTGCGGGAGGCGGTGCTGCGGCCGGGCGCTCCGCCGCGATCATGTCCACCCCGGCGCGGCGCAGGCTGATGCGCGACTTCAAGAGGTGAGCGGCGGCGCGGGGCCGAGCTGAGGGCGGGCCGGGGCGGCCTCGCCGTTCTTCTGATCCGCCGGGGCCTCCGAGCGCCCCTCCCCCGGCGCCTCCGGACGAGCCTCCCGCGGTCCTGGCGGCTCCGAGGCTCTTCTGGAAGCGGGGCAGAGCAGAGCAGAGCCCTTCCGCCTTGAACGCGGGCCGGCGGAGCTGCCTGGGGCCGGCTCTGCCTGGGGCCGGCTCTGCCCGGGGCCGGTTCCTCCCACCCCCCCGGGGCCGCCTGAGGTTAGAGCTGGTGCCGCGTCCGGAACGAACTCTCGCGGGGGGCTTCTAAATATGGAGCGCCGCAATTAGCGGTCGCTTCGTTCTCCGTATGTAAGCAAAACCCAAGTGCCCTTTAATGTTTGTGTGCGCATGCGGTTCTGTCCGAGCTTTTCCATCCCGAGCAGCCTTGTATAACGCGCACCGAGCGCCGGGAGCTGCCGATCGCCGCGTGTTTCTGAGCGTTACCGACCGATGGGGTCATAGCTGGGAGTGGAGGAAAAGCGGTGTTGGGGTTTGTTGTTGTGTTTTGTAAACGTCACAGTTCGGTGTGTTTCCTCTTCAGCCTGAGATGAGTCAGCTCGGGTAGGGGCTCTTTTCCTAGCACGGCTGCGGTGTCCGCACCGAAAACACAGCGGGGAGCGGCTGTGTGCACCGAACACGGAGCGGTGCTGCGATGGGAGCTGAGCGGGCAGCGAGCCGAGCGCCGGGAGCCTGCGGGCATCCGTTATCTCAGGAACTGAGTGATCTGCTCAGCGCTGAGCAGCGCTTCTGGATAGCGATCAGACCTTTCGGTGTCATTTTGAGATCTCGGAAGGACTGGCTTCATGATCTTGGAATGGAAGGTGGAGAATACTTTGAAGAGCAAGCACTGCTCCCATTTCTTTATCAGATATTTGGCCACTTTTATGCCCCAAAATGCACGTAGCTATCTCATGTCTATTTTTTCCCCGTCCTCCTTCCCCCCGGTTATATTTTTGTTTAGCCTTGCGCTACTCTTACCTCATACTGAAACAGCAGGCTGTGCTGTGAGCTCTGATTCACTTGGTTAAATATAAACTTTTGCATCTTAGAATTGCCAGGAGTAGTGGAGAGGGAGCAGTGTCTTGTATCACCTAATTAACCCAACAGAGAAGTGTTATTTTTACTACGTATAGGTATCATTATGTATAAATATTATACGTGTAACCGGTGACAGAAGTAGAGGGGATGGCTTCAAGCTGCACCAGGGGAGATGTAGGCTTGATGTTAGGAAATAATGCTTCTCTGAAAGAGTGGTCAGGCACTGGAATGGGCCGCCCAGGGAGGTGGTGGAGTCACCGACCCTGGAGGAGTTCAGTATTGAGGGACATGGTTTAGTGAGAGCTGTTGGTGATGGGTGGATGGTTGGACCTGATGATCCTGTGGGTCTTTTCCAACCTTGTATTTCTGTGATTGTCTGTGTGTAAGTACTGTTAGAAAAGGGCTTACAAATGCTACCTTTTCCCTGGTTCTTACTGACTTCCAGGCCCTGCTGAGACCAGCCTGGCTTGCAGCCCTTGCCACGACCTGTCTGTATTTAGTTAGACCTTTTGACAGCAGGGTGTACATGAGCTTTTAAAATTGCTCTAAAACCCAAAGCCGTGCTCCTGAGACATTTATCAGGCAAAGCGCTCAGGCATTATTACCAGCGTGCAGTCTGGCATGGAAGAAAACACATTCCTGCTCTCCCTGACCAAAATAGTAGGTGGTTTATGCTGTTCAAATTAAGCTGTCTGGACTGCATGTGCTCACAGAGCAAGGATGTAAACACGGTCCGCAGGGGAGCTGGATTGCAAGCAGGCAGAGCCCAGCTGCCAGCCTGGCTGTGCGGGCAGCGTCATTGCTGGTGTCTGTGTACACGAGCAGCTGTACTCACTGTGCCAGGGATGGACATCCAGGCACGGGGGGACTTCCAGGCATCGCTACTGGCGTTGTGCCTGACTCAGCCCTAAGGCAGTCTGCACAAATGGGCTGAAACTGAGTTAGAGTTTGTCCCTCGGTCTGTAGTGAGGGTTTGCTCTTAACCCTGTTCTGCTGTTAATCTCACGTTAACACTGAACAACTGCTTCAAAGCGAGGGCAGTTACTTCATTTTCTTTATTCTTGCATGACTCAACTCTGTGCCGCGGATGGGAGCTGTCACAAAAGGATCTGCCTGGGCAGTCCCCAGTGGTGTGGGAGGTTACTGCTTTTTGTTGTTCCAGGCTCTAACGTGATCCTTTAGCAGAAGCACACAGAATGGACAGGAGGGCATCTTGGTCCTGTCATTTAGTTAGTGTGTATTTGTCTGGCGTGAGTTTATGCAGCTTTCAGTAAGCAATGTGCTTTTCCCTAGTCCAAGGATTAAGGAACTAAAAAGGATTTCAAATGCTTCCACTACTGCTTTAGAGACAAATATTTACATTTGTGGCACTGCTATCAGGGAACAGTGCAAAGGTTTCCCCTTGCTCCCTCTTCCCTTTTGAAGCAGTCAGCTCACCAGCCAAAACAGCCTTAAGCAAATTCAGCTGCGTCGTGCACAGACTTAGGGATGCAGAAAAAGCTCAGCTGACAGTCCTTTGCCCTCAGTTGCAGTAAGTATGTCCTGCATCACTGTGCTGAGCTCCTGTTTCTGGCCGTGACTTATTCTCTGTTTCACTGTGGCAACCAGCAACAGTTACTTGCTCTGCTCCTCCATAACCATCTGGGTGGTAAATCCATCCCAGCTTGGTGTGCTGCTTTAAAGCACTGTTACTTACGGTGCTTTGCACACCTGCCTCAACCTGCTGGGCTGTCACAGCGTGTTGGTGTAATCCAGGAGCAGATCTTGGTTTGTCTTTTGGAATACTGCTCATCTGCATGTAACGCTTTGTTCAGTCATTGAGAAAAGGTTTATAAAGGCAGTGGATGTTGCTCTTGAGTCAGGTGGAAGCATTTCACTTACGTAAGGCTTGCTGTTCTATATTTGTGATTTCTAGATTGCAAGAAGACCCTCCTGTGGGTGTCAGTGGTGCACCATCTGAGAATAATATAATGCAGTGGAATGCAGTTATATTTGGGTAAGAGTTTTTGCTCACTGTGAGCCCTTTTTTTTGGGAGAGGGAGGGGGGGGAATTTTTTTATAATATCCTTTTTTCTTTTTTTTTTTTTCTTTGTGAATGTAAAGTCAGGAAATTTACAGAAATGACCAACTGTGCAATCACAGTGAAAATCTGCTTTCAGGGGTAATAAAGAATGCCTGGGGGAAAAGGTATATATTCATTGTCTTTTTTTTAATGATGTTTGCATGTGGCTTAATAAATGGAACGGGTTTTATAGGAGCTGGGTTATGAAAAAGCAGGCTGGCTCTTTAAAGGTACATAAGAGCACCACATGTTGTTGGCCATCAAATCCAGATGCACTGGCAGTGTTTGGATTGATTCCTGGTGGAATGAGGTTCTATTTAGGAAGTTACATTACGTGTCCTCCAGAAGAGGAACTCTGGTAGTGTCCTTTCATAAGGCTGGAGTCAGCTTACTAACGATCTCCTCGTTAATTGAGCTCTGAAACGTGGCACATGCACTGCTTGGGATGATAACGAAGTGGGTGTCTTCACTGCCAGATTGACTCTGGGAAAGTCTGCTGAACGTGACAGAGCTCCCAGAAGTTGCCTCTGGAGGCTTCCCTAAATATTTGTATGGCTGTCTCTATGTCTGTCTTGAGGAGAATAGGGAATAACGTACGTGTTTATTGCGAGTGCTTGGAAGTGATGGTCGTTTTTAACTGGAATTTATTTTTTACACCTTTCAGGCCAGAAGGGACACCTTTTGAAGATGGTAAGCAGCAAATTTCTGTATTCTCTGTCATTCTTGTGAATATTGTCAGTATTGACATTATTCTGCTCTGATACTAGGTAGGTTGGAACAGTCTGAACAAGCCAAGAGTGCTGGATCAAGGTCAAGTTAGCTATAAAAATACTGTATTTCTGTGCAAGCAGTGTCTTACTGTAGTGGTTGATGGTTAGTTGCAAAGCTATGAAGCAGTGCTTGTACCAAGACTTGTGTAGACACGGTTTGAGCTTTTGGAGGAGGAAGTTGGTCTAATGCTGCCAGATGTTCTTGCATCTGTGCAGCTGAGCTCAGCGAGACAGCTGACCAGAATGCTGTGCTGGTTTCGTCTTTGTAGCATGCTTGATTCATCTCTGCTCTTGTAACTAAGAGCAGGTGAAAAATCTTGAATTGTTCTGAAAATAGAACTGAGTGAGAGGGGGGAATACCAAATCTGTACATAAACATGAAAGTTGATGTGTAATGAATCTCCCCCAGGCATATGAGGAATAATGAGTTTAATAATTATAGCGTTATTGCAGTAATCAGCAGCAGATGGGTTTTCCTCTGTGTTGGGTTGGAGGAGTACAGTAAATTATTCACTGATCCGTAATAAAGGTTTTCAGTGAACCAGTCATGAGCTCCAAAGGCTGCGATTGCTGATGATGAGATTCCAGTCTTTGCTTGCTGGCACCACAGGGCCTTCTTAATGAAACACCTTCAAGTCACTGAAGTCCATAGAACAGGCAAATTTGGTCACAGAAGAAGGGAGGAGGGCAGTGGGATGATGGATGTTGGATGTAGCTGCTTTCCCTGTGTATACAGCGAGTCTCAGTGCTTGGACCTAGCTGCTGCTGCTGCTGTTTTTATTGCAATTAGTAATTATTAGTTGCACAGTTCCATTGTCGCTTGAAATATGTGAAAAGAAAGCAGGCTTAATGTGGTTTGTTTGCATAACAGTGGGCAGAAATATCAATTATGGAGCACATGAATTAACTTACCTTGTTTTTTCCTTTTTTTTTTGTTGGTGGTCATCTGACTGTATTTATGTTTATTTGGACAGGTACTTTTAAACTAGTAATAGAATTTTCAGAAGAATATCCAAACAAACCTCCAACTGTTAGGTTTTTATCAAAAATGTTCCATCCAAACGGTGAGTAAATCATTTCAATTTAGCCATAATACTTACTGTTATGGTGTGCTCGTTTATTCTGCAGAGCTCCAGAGTGCTTATCCGTTTGCTCTCTGCACTGCTGCCTGCTGAGCAGTTGTCTCAGGCAGTAACTACTTGATGAAAGAACTGAGAGTTGCAGTGCTGTTAAGTAGCAACTATCTGTCTCTTTCCAATCAATATGGCAGCAAAATCTGTAAGTGTTTTCAGCTACAGCTGCACTTAAGTTGGCCTAAAGGGGCAATCTTGCTTCAGATTCCTGCCCCCTTCCATTTAACAGCTCTTCTGTCTGTGTAGACACATCATGAATCCAAGCAGGGAACCGATGTTGCCAAATGTTACTTATTTCTGTCAGGTGAGAGCTCGGCCAAGCCAACCTGCATGGGGTTCCCTGTGCTAAGCAGCGCTGGCAGCGGGAGGCAGGCAAGAAAGTGCACTCCTAGGGGAGAGCAAAGGGAAGGGAGCTGCCCCCAGCTCGGTGGGAGGGCAGCCATGGAGAGCTGTGCTTCTCACTCCATCTCTCCATAGCTTTTATCTGCTTGTCGGATGCAGAAGACAGAAGCCATGCCTCTCTGTCTCCCAATCCCCTCTGTTACAAAGGCTTATAGATTCAGTTTGAGAGTTGAAGCGCAAACCTGTTTCAGCAGTTCCTGTAGCTTGAGCCCTCCTTGAGCAGAGGCTGGTTTTAACTACAGTTCTGTGTCAGTATTAGGCAACACTCTCTAACCATTTATCTGTCACATAACAAGAAAGGCAGTATGCTTCTGACCGCTTTGTTTTATTATATTTTGTTACTGGGATGAACAAGCTAGAAAAATGGCATGTAGAAGCTTGCGTGACAAATCTCAGTTTCCTACAGGCTCTCCTATTCAGACAGAAGTAGTATTTCAAGCAGGCAGTGTTTCCTACTGTCTGCCTTAGTGTCCTGCCTAGCCTGTGAGCACTGTGCAGTTTCCCCATGCAGTGCATGATGACTGAGATCCTCGGCTGGCGCTGTGCATCCCATGCCTGCAGCAAATGTCTCTGCTTGCTGAGAGGCATTACGTCGACTTGAATCTGGGCCAAACACACAGGAGGAGCAAGAAGCCGAGTCCAGGCCTACCAGTGCCTGTGCTATTGCCATATTTTTTGAACCTTCTTTCATTTCCTCTTAGGTGTTTTGTTACTTGCAGTAATGTATCTCCTTCAAAAGACCAGCTATCAAATTAGATAAGATAGTCAGCCATAGCTGCTATAATCCCAAAGCATTTTTTGAACGCAGGCCAAATTGATACAGTAGTTCTTGCTTGAACTGTATTTAATGAACAGAACGTAAGGTAAGTCTGAGAAGGGATGGCTGATGTGTGTGCTGTGTTCACAGTTTATGCAGATGGCAGCATATGTTTAGATATTCTGCAGAATCGGTGGAGCCCGACGTATGACGTTTCATCTATTTTAACTTCAATTCAGGTAACTTCAGATCTATTTTAGCAGTTAAGTACGTTGTTACAAGCCTGTTTGGAGAGTACACAGCTCAGTGACAAAACTGGAGGACTTCAAATACTTGTAGCCTAAGCAATTGCTTCTCAGATCCAATAAACACAAAGTGCTGAGCTGTGCAGTTGCTGATTTTGAGCTACAAAATTGCCGTTGGATAATTTTCACAAGAAAACAGTGATTTGGCTTCCTTTTTTATCTGTTTTTAGTCAAGATGGGCAGTCAGGTATAGAATTTGTATAATGTAACATTTGAAACCATTTCACAACGCCTCGGCCTGTCACTTCAAGTGCTGCTGAAATTTGTTTAATTGGAGTAAATAGAAATGATATGGCAGACTGAAAACAGTTTTTTCTCTTTAGTCCTGCGTGACATCAGTGGTGTCATAGCCAGATGATCAGTTGGTGTCATACTGCAAACTGGCACAAATGGCTCTACTGCATCTGTTTGTAAGGACATGAGGAGCCTAAAAATGTATGCAGTGCTAATGCTCATAAAATGTATAACTGGAAGTTCAGCAGCTCTGTTAGGGGTGCCTCATATTAGCTTTAACCTGTTTTGTTGTGTTTTGTTTTTTAAGTGGGCTCTACTTTGTCATGTTTGCTTTCTGAAGCATTTGATAGGAAAGGTGTTTTTCACTGTTGCATAAATTGCTGGTTTGTCTCACTCTCTGTTTTTCCCTTTTTCACAGTCTCTGCTTGATGAACCTAATCCAAACAGTCCAGCAAACAGTCAGGCAGCACAGCTTTATCAGGAGAACAAACGTGAATATGAGAAAAGAGTTTCAGCTATTGTCGAACAAAGTTGGAATGATTCGTAACAGCTGCTTTGTTTCTCTCCATCCTCGTAATCATTTATGTACAATTTAACTCTCAATAGAAAGGCTACCAAGAATTTCAAGTGCCACAGCTCTAAGAATTTGCATAAAAACTCATTTGCAAACAGAATTAAGCCCTCCAGTTTAGGAAACTTAAAAGCTTGTGTATCTTGATTAACATACTTCTTATTGCATGGTATGAACTAAGTTATTGCTACATAAATTTGTAATATATCCTGTTTGTATTTTTTTTCCAAGTGTATAATGTTGGTGTGGAGTTTTCATGACAGAATATACACATTTTGTAAATCTGTACTTTTTCAAATACTGAATGCCTTATTTTTGAATTCTTTAGATTTTTAAATTGGAGAAAAGCACTTAACAAAGTTTTTATATATAAATATTTCATGTAAAACTGTTAAATACATAACCTCAGTGCAAGACACTCTTCTCTCATTCTGTATCTCTTTCAAAAGGCTCATTTGGAGTCCATTTTCCCCTTTGCTATGTGCTGATTATGGCACGCACTTTAAAAACAGAAAAGTCCATCCATTTTGTAACTGCCTTCTCTGTGGGTATCTCTGCAGCTGCAGCAGGCTTTAATTCGATTCTGTGTTCCTCACTTGTTATGAGGAAGAGAAGTGTTGGTAGCTGCCACTTTGTAAATGGGAAAGCATAACTATTTGGCTAAAAGTTCCACTACAAACCAGCAGCAGTGCTGCAAACAGGAGCTGGATCACCAGTAATTGGTAATAATACAATAATTTTTCAGGGAGATTGTATTTTACCAAACTGTAAAATATTGTCAACTAAATCTGTCTTCTGTTCATATACTGATACTGTAACACAGCCCTGAATATCTTCTAATAGTTGAACAGGTATTCTGTTAGTTTCTCTTTGGCTGGGGAAGTAATTAATCACAAACAGAAGAGAACAGGATTGCAGATTTAATGGAGTTCTATGGAACCTGGCCTCGTGTCTGTTTCACAGAAGTTTTATTCTTAAGCTGTCAGTTTTAAAGCAGCTTGGTTTTGTCTGTAAGTGTGGACATTCTGCTGCTTTTCCTGTGTTTTTAAAATCACAGTGGATGTCTGCAGTAAAGAATTAGGACTTTTTTTTTCTTCTAGCAGCTGCCTCTGTCACAGTTCCATCCAGCATGACGTATGCACTAGAACCCTCAAATCCCATATAAAACATGCAGCTCAGCGTTGCCTGAAAAGCAATGGAAGTTTACTTCATTTGGAAAATACTTCTTATTTGCCACAGTCATCAGTAAAAGCTGAACTTTGTTAATGCAGTGAAACATGAATATCAGTGCTTGTACAGAAACCCCGAAAGACCCAATTCCCCTTTTCACGATGGGTCGAATAAGGCAGCATCTGTTTATAAGGCATTTGTTTATACACAGAACACTGACAAGGTTCCTAAGAATCAATCTAAATTCAGAATATTTTCCTCCTTTCGTCTCAAGTTTCAGTATTTCCATTGCTTTATTGTGTGTGAGATGAGGTTTGCCTTTCATTACTTTGCTTATTACTGGTCAGCTTAGCTTCGTTACAGGTTGATTAAGCTCGGGAGATTGTTGTGGATGCATCTGGATGGAGGCGGCGTGCCTTCCAGGGGAGACCTGACATCCGGCCTTGTGCGGGCTGTGACGTCACTGGGACGCGACGGGTCTCGCAGGAGGAGGCGGGCCGCAGGGCGGCTGTTCGGGCACCTGCAGATCTCTGCTCCCCCCCGGTACCTGGGGCCGTTCCGGGCGCCTCGCAAAGAGAGACGTCTGCTGTGCAATTAAAAGTTACGGCGCTGTTTCTCGGTAGCAGACCGAGCTGCCTGCCGGCGACGAGGCACAGGACGCTCCGCGGTGCCGGGAGGCCGCCAGGGCTGAGCCCCATTGCCGCCGCCGGAAGCGGCCTCACCGGGACCGGAAGGCCTTCTTCATGCGGCCTCCTGGGTCCACTCTGCCCCACGCCTCGTCTGCCCTGGAGGAGCGGGGCGGCTATCGCGCAGGCGCACTGCGCACTGCCGCGCCTGGGTGCAGCGGGTCTGAAGGTGCCGAGGCCATGAGCGAGGACGGGCGGCTGGTCGCGGCTGTGCCAGGGCGTGAGGGGGCGGCAGGGCGCCGAGCGCGGGGTCCGGGCTGCTTCGGTAACCCCGAGGGAGCTGAAAGGCAATAAGCTGCGGTATATCCACTCACAAGAGCACGGCTCTCAGTGCACCTCACGGAGCGAGACGGGGGGAGCGGCTTTAAACTAAAAGAGGGGAGATGCAGAGTGGACGTGAGGAGGACGGCATTCCCGATTTTCTGGCGCCGCGGCAGCGCCGTGCTGCCCATCACCGCCGTGCCCGCAGCCCTGGCTGGGCTCTGGGCAGCAGCGCGTGAAAGGAGCGGCTGGAGGCGGTCAGGTCCCAGCCGCGCTGCGATCCTGAGATGGCCAAACCCGGTGCCAAACCCAAGGCACGGGACCCAGATCCTCACAACTGCCATCAGCTCACGGATGCAGGCAGTCCCAGTGGGATTCTGCTCTGTGCTGCAGGCTGAGGGGTGTAACTGCAGCAGCTTGAGGTGCTCTGAATGCAGCTTCGTTTGGGTGGATTTGTATTACTAGTTAATTCAGCGTGTCAAACATACGCACCTCCAAACTCCAGATCAGGAGCTCCCTAATACAGAAATTACACAAGAGAGGAAGGTTCCCCGGTGGTTATGCTGGCATTTAGTTAATCAAACAGATAGGATATAGACAAACAGAAGAACATTTCTGTGTTTTGCCTGTGAAGGTTCTGTGGGAATACTGTTGATGTCTATCCAAATGGAGAGGAGAGGAGGAGCCTTATGATCTCAGACTTCCCTACCTAGCGTTTTTACTTGAGCATTTTTCTGTTTGTGTAAGCTCTCCCGGGCAAATATCATGCTGTATTTGTTTGGAGTTGGTTTTGGTTTTTTTTTTGAAGAGGAAGGATATAATCAACAGATGATCTGCTGTAACGTGTGAGCTGGCGAGGAGGCATTCTCCACCTCTGCTTTTGATGGAGCTCCACAGCACAGGAAAGAATGAAAGAGGCATCCCTGCAGTGACAAGAGAAGGCAGTGACCTCCAGCTACAGACCCACGGCTCAGGCGTTTGTGTGCATGGAGCCTCAGCTCGGGTCTCTGCTCCACAACTCAGCTTTGGCTTTTCTTTAAGCCACTGGATAAATCCATCATCCATGTGCCAGGGTGTAAGGCTGAGCATTGCACCACTCACTGCTATGAAGCCCGGCTTGGATCTAGCCCTTGGGCCACGAGAAAGTCATGTCAGCAGTGCTGGGCAGTTTAGGGTTTTTTATTTCATAAAAGCTTTTGGGTTAAAAATGGTCAAAAATAGGAGAGCAACATAGAATTGCGTGTCATTGTATATCTGTGGGCAGTTCTGTTCAACATAAGCCTTCTTTACAGTTAATCTCTAGACACTCATATTTTTTTTTCCTTTCTTCTCTTGCTGAAACAAGGAAACAAATACAAAAATTCATTGCCTTGATACTGAAAGATAAATGATGTAAAGGGCAACAGAAAAAGGAGCTAAACGGAAAGAAAAAAGCAAAACCAAAGAAGAAAACCCATTACAAAACCAGAGGCTTTTCTGCTTCTGAGATGGCTGTGAATTCAAAGGACTGAAGTTGTCATTTTAGAAAATAATATACCCTGGATTATGTGTGTGTGCGTACGTAGGAGAGGAGAGAGCTTTGTGAGCTGATTATGTTAGAACCTTAAAAAAAAAAGTGTGAGGTTGTAATACTGAAATTGGGTGGGACTCAGGATTTTATTTTTCTTTTTTTTGTGTGCAGCTCCAAACGTTGTTACTGCACCTTGAGTTTGTCTCATTGCACAGCTGCCGGGAGCAGAGAACAAAAAAAACGCAGAACTTTTAGACTCTGATAATGACTGTAATTAGCATCACAAGGCTGTGGAAATTGCAGTATTCCCTAAAGGTTTCTTGTCGTTCTCTCATGTTTCTGTGCTGGATGTGAAGATTTTCAGCCAGGATACGTGCTCGGTTTGGTGCTGTCCCACTAGTGGTAGCATTGCAGCCTCCATGGCTGTGTTAATCCATTCTTAATGCCTGTATCAGTGTCGTGTTTCTGAGCTGGTCTGCGTGAAAGCTGTATCCTGCCAGAAAGTAAACTGACTGCTCTTAAACACTGCCCATTGTTCAGCATCCAAATGAAGCCTTTTTCTTTATGATGTGGTCAAAGCACGTAGCGTGGGATTTTCTGAGCTAGTGAAAATGTTAGTCAATGAGAGTGTATTTTAAAATCCCAGTATGAAAATGTTTTAATCAGGAATTCGGTGATGTCATAAATTATTTTTGCCCTTAAACGTGTGCCAGGGCTGGGTCAAAGCCCAGCATAAAGGCAGCATTATGGAACGATGGTGCTGACTGATTTATTAGAGCCGCGCAGCGGAGGCCGTCAGCATTGGAGGTAGATGGGCCCAGCCTCCACCTGTAGCGTGGAGCACTCGGTCCTCAACCCTCACAACTGAAAAGATCGTGTGTTTCTTGCCTTGTTTTTTAACTTTGCCTTATTAACTGCCGTGTCTGATTAATTTCCAAGCTGAATAATTTTGACAGCTGCCGATTTGGTACACATGCCACAGGCAGAGCCGTGGCGCTGGCAGGGGGGCTGCAGCCCCAGCAAGGAGCACATCTGCACACCTCACAGGAGGACCTCAGTACACGTGGAGCAGGGACCTCTCCATCACAGCCAGGTCAGCCCGGGCTCTGAGCCCCGCGTTGGGCCTGACCCGAGATAAACCACTGCTCACAGATCTCTGAACCAAGCCTGAGCTGAACTTTGAACTGCTTGGTCTCAGCATCAGATTATTCATAGCTTTTCATTGCTATCATCACCATTTATTCCTTTCCTTACGTTGCTGTTCAGTCAGTCCTCACAGCCGAGGAGAGAAGGTTGGGTTCAGGATGGTGTTCAGAGCTCTGCCCCACAAACATAGTGCCCAGTGAACACTGATGTTTCTCTTGTTAATCTGTGGTCACTGCTGTTGTGATGAGAGCGGAAGGAAGGAATTTCGTTCTGATATACAGCACTTCACCCCGACTGAGCGAGATTGTCTTCAGTGGCTGACCAGAGCCAGCAAGGAGACAGCACTGCCATGTCTTTTGAATTAATTATGAACCACACAGCTCTTGCTGTTATCTGCTTACACATTGTCTGCCTCGTGATGGGCTGCTGAGGGATTTCCATTCACTGTCTGGTCCAAATGTACTGTAAGTCCAATTTCATTAATCAGCCCGCTCGCTTTACTTGTTAAAAGGGTCATTGTGTTTGTTATTACAGCGTTTTCTTTGTGCTCGCTTTCCCCAAATTCCAGTAACTATTTTGTAGAAAAGTTTGGAAGTGAACTTTTGATGCCTGTGAAAACTGCTTCGTTGACTTTATTGACTCCAGAGCCTCACGTTCTTTATCCACAGAGATCTTTAAAAGGACACAAAAAAGTTGCAGCCAAAGCTTATAGAATTTGGTACTTATGGTTAAGTATTATAGACCAATGTCGTTCCCATGGAGACCTAAAGGAATTTTTCCATTGGATTAAGTGGTAGCAAAGCATACCCTTTATTAAGTGGGATAAGAAGTAGACCAGAGAGCTCAATTTGTTTTTGCTGGTTTTGTTTGCCTGCCCTTCTGTAGCACGAAGTAAACCAGAAGAAATGACAGATATTTGCGCTGTGATTCATCTGTTTTGTCCTTGCTGCGTTTGGAGATAAGGCTGTGTTTGTGGTCATGGAGCAGCAACCCAGCAGGCGAGGGCAGCTCTGTTTCACTCCTTGCTAGTGCCTTTCTCTGCAATCTGGAGGTGAGGGGAGTGTTTCAGACACTGCTGCTGTTAGGGAGAGGTCAGCAGGACTGCAGCTGGGCGCTGCGAGGTGCTGTGCTGCCTGCAGGTCGTGCACCAGGTGTTCCTAAGGGCTCCTGGAACAGCAGATTGTTCAACCACTCCAACTTGTTAGCAGTGAGATTCCAAGTATTTACAAAGAAATCCCAAATATATTCACATTTAGAAGGAGTTCTTCTATTCTGGAAGGTTGAGCTGTAGCTCAGCAGCTGCCAGAAGTCCCCAGTGAGTGGTGGGTGAGGTGCGGCCATGTGCTGCTGCTGACCCACAGCCAGCTCCTGCAGCTCATGTGGGTGCAGACCCTGAGCGTTCCTGCACAGGAAATTGTAGAGGACTGAAATTGTGCATTTTGGTGCTGAAATTTGTTGTATTTTTATTTGTTTGTTTGTTGTTGGGACTGTAATGAGATCCAGAACTACTGAAGCCAACAGATCTGTGATTGATTTAAATGGATTGAGGATTTCCTCCATAATGAAGTCCTTTCACTTTGGATCACTGAGATTTCTCTTGTTCTTTCTTAGTGCCGTATGACACATTCACTCCATCCTTGCCTCAAACAAAGAGAATTTTTGCTATCATAGCTTCCCTTTAAATATTTTCTATTTGACAGCCTACTGAAAAGGCTCCAGAGGCAAATTCTTGGTTTAGAAGTTGCTATTTATGTCTGTACACATCTGAACATCGTTATGGTTTGCATGTTCTGGATTGCTTGCCGTTTTCTTTGTAGAGATGTATGAGTCTAGTGAGAGAGCGCATTATTTTAAATGAGTTTGAAGCATGCTTTAACCGTCTCAGGGTTCTACTTGTTGCTCCTGACTCCCTTGATAAAAATTCATATCAATATAAGCAACACCGCAGGGAAAATTTGTGTGTTGGTGTTATAAACAAGGGGAAGATGCTCTCAGTGCGTGATGTTGGATTCTTTCAGCATATGGCACTGGAATAATGGTGGGCTCTGTGCAGACAGGGCTGCTGTTCCCAAGGGCTTTCAGTTGGGGTGTAGGGCAGGTGGTGAAACTCCATAGGGCACAGAAGCACAAGAGAGTAACGAAATGATAAGGATGACAAGGATAGTGGCCTCCCTGGTCCTAATCAGCTATCCCAATTGTTAATGTTTGTGGGCTTTGTGTTTTATTTTGTTTTTTATGCTTAGCAATTGCAGCAGAAATGCTAAGTCAGGGCCTGAAGCAGTGATGGAGCACCTGGTGGGAAGGCAGGGCCAGCCCAGGGGAGCTCAGGTGCATGCAGTGCTGCTGAGCTACCTGAAAGGCTGGAGTGAAGGAGGATTCACTCCTTCCCAGACCTCTTTTAAGGGGCAGTGGAGGTGAGGGGCTCTTGCTGGAGTTTCCTGCCTACCAGAGGCTTTCCAAAGGTAAGCAGCTTTGTTTCTATGTCCATGGCTGCTGCATTTGGGCTTGTCCTCATTTGCTGCAGCCAGAGACTTTGCCATCCCACTATCATCTCTGTACTTTCCATCGCATAATAGCATTACAGCATTTTGTATGCTTAATAAGAGAGCCCTATGGAGTTTATGCACACCTGAAGTAAGAGCCTGGACTGCTCTCAGTGAATGCATTTCAGCTCCAGGAACAATCTACACAGTGTGGTTTTCCAAGACCAGAGGATCTCCCACCTCTATTTTTGTACAGTTCTGTAATTTTAAAAGGATTCTGTGAAGCATTCTGGAGTGCTGGGAATTACACTGCTGCATGGTTTTGTTCTTTCTTAGAAGCTGTATTTTCATATGACATAGGTACAAGTTCTGGAGGATCAGCATGAAAGCAGCCTGGCTCTCTCTCTGCATGTAAAGGAGCTTGTGCATCCATTTAGAGAAGGATGGACTCAGAAGTCTTGTAATTATGTCTGCCTCGATGTTTTGTGTGCATGGTAACTGTATGGGAACTGCTGAGTCCTGACCTGAACCACTGATGGAGCACCTGGGGAAGGACCTGGGAGCACAGGTGAAGGCAATTCAGCTGTGATTGGAAGGGCTGCAGCCTGGCTGCACCTCTCACACCCCATTTAAAGGCTGACAGCCAGTAAAGCTCCCTCCTTGGTGAAGCTTCCCCTGCAAACCTGGAATCTTCTGATACGGTGAGCAGTTTTGTTCCCTTCTAGCACCTCTCTATCGTGTTGGTCCTTCCGTCATCACACCCTTGTTGTGACATCGTTCCCATCGTATTGATCTGTCATGCAACTCTATGTGTCAAGTTAACTATTAGAGGATGTTCTGATCCATTCTGAGAGATGGACCCTCCGTGCTGATACGACTTGGCACCAAGACTGGTGGGAAGCTCCAGTAATACCAGCAGGGGCATTGAGCTCAGGTGTGTGTAGGAGAGGAGGGGAATTCCTTCATTTTGCATCACTGTAAAGCATGCAGTACGTCATTGTAAAAGTCTGTGCATCAGTTTATCCGACATTAATTGTCTTCCTGCTGACTGCCTTCTGTTGCATTCATTTTTAAAGGATGAGGAAAATATTTCAAGTGAATGATCAAAGGAATATTTTACTCCCTTCACGTTCAGAGTATGGAGTCTCTGAAGGATTTATTCAGGAAATGAGTTATTAGGGCCTGACAGCTCTCTGCAGCAGCACTGAGTGAGCAGGTTATCTACAGATTGCGGGTACAAACATCCCGTGCTTTGATGAGTACATGAGTAACGCCGTTAGAGGAGTTGGAAAGCAAGAGTAGGTTGGGGCTGGAGCTCCAAGTCACTTGAGCAATTACCACGAAGCCTGAAATTTAGCAACCTAGAGCAGGTACTGCCAGGCAAATGGACATCTGACATCATTCTTCACTGTTGGGTTTCTTAACCAAAGAATGACAGTGTTTTGCTTTGTGGGGAAAGCAATATTGGCTCGGCTGTGCAGTCTGTTTGCCGTCAGTTCTGTGACTGGAACTCACCTGGGGTTTGGATGCTTTCTTTTCGCTCAGCATTGCCATCCAAATGATAGAGGCCCTATCTGTGAGCTTTGGTGGTTGGAATCTCTGAGACCTTTGATTGTAATTACGCTGCTTGATGCGTCGAGATCCTCAGAAGCGTATCGCTTCTGGAGATATCAACCTAAGCTGCTTAGGTGATATAAACCTAAGTAGCTTAATAGCTTCACAATGCCATATAATGTATTGGGGATCTCCCCGCACAGAGAATCTGATAGGGGAAATCTGAATTGTGGTGACAGCTTTAACAGCAAGGAAGGCAGCGAAGGGAAGCGTGGTGTGATGAGCCAGGTTAGGTGAGCATGGGGCTGCCTGCAGCTGCGTGAGAGGCTCCAAGCAGAGCTCAGGGCAAGGATGAGGTTGGTGCTGGGGGCAGTGGTTATTCTTTGGAGCTGCGGGAGGAACAGCTGGGAGCTGGCATGGCCTCCCAGTGCTGTGACTGTGCAAACACGTGGATGTGCCACAAAAGCAGCTTTTGGTGACAGACTGAAGTATGGCACATGTCAGTAATACAGACTACTGAATTCTCTCTGCTGTGCATCTCTTTTCCCGTGTCTGAGCCTTCACGCCAGCAGCTGTTCCCTCTCAGTACTTGAATGTATAATTCCAGAATTCATCTGGCCCAGTTTATTTTCTGATTCTGACACCTGAAACTGGAGTTACAGGACTCCCCTACGGCAGTGTCCTCTTGGTGTGGGATATGGCTGCTCATAGCACCCAGCTGTGCCCAACAAACTGCCTCCAAGCTCTGCCTCTGCATGGAGCTGCATGGTATGGGCAGCCCAGGGCCACTGCTGTGCTGACTGCAGGGATGCTGCAATGGGATGCAGGGATCCCCAGGGCCCAGCTCTGCAGGTGTGCCTGTTCCTAACCCCATGAGTTCCTGGGTGCTGCAGGAGCTCAGATTGGAGGTGGTGGGGCTGCACTGAAGTCCATGTCACATGCTTCAGAGGGGCAGCTACTTACTTATAAAAACCCATCAGAGCTGAACTGTGCCCTGATTGAGGCTATACTGGGAGCCAGACACGTGACTGTGTTGGTGTTTGCATTATTTCCTGTGAAGGTAAAATCCAGGCATTTATTTTTCATGTTTTTGCACAACACAAAGCCAGCAGGCTGATTTGTATTCAACTGCTGCATATTGAGGCTGGTCATCAGTCTTGTAAATGGTAGATAGGAGGAACAGCTACAGCAGAGAAATATTTCCTCTGGTTCAGTGTGGCTCCTGAGCGGGGTCCTCTCACTCCCTGTAACCAAAGCAGAGTTATCTGTCTGGCATTCCCTGTCCCACACTTGTGGTTATTTATTCTGTGTTGGGCAGGAAGGAAGGAGACGTGTGCAATCTCCATTCTTGTTAACAGGAATTGTGCACCTAATTCTCTGTGCATTGTGCCGAAAATGAACTGGTAAGACGTGTTCTGCATCAGCAAAAAGGCTGCCTTGTTCAGCTGGAATGAGAGCATGCATGCTATAACTTGGGAGTGAAGAAAATCACTGTAAAGATTTCTTTAAACACAGCCTGTAGGGTTTTTCCCTAAATTTCTGCTGAGGATGAAGATTCTGCTGTGTTTTTTCCCTCCTTTCTCCCACTCGATTGCAAAGCTTAAAGCTTTCATTGCGTGCGTTTCTGCTGCTTGTAGCACTTTTCATTCAGATGGCAATTTTTCATCTCCTCGCTGGCTTATGGCTAAAACAGTCCTAACAGGAATTGGTGTTATTTACTCCCCAGAATCAGTATTTCCATTTGCTCCCGGTCTCTCATCCTCAGGGGAAGGGTTTCCTTCTGTCTCACCTCGATGGATCCATCTTCCCAGCTCCCCTCCTTCCTGCAGATGATGGCTCTGCAGCTGTAAGCATCATCTGAGAGCACCTTTGTGAGACATTTCCAAGTTGTTACTAGCTAATGCGTTGCCGAAATCAGGGCTGAAATGCTCCAGACTGGCTGCTCAATTAATGAAAATGCACTGGAGTGCCCGTACATGGTAATGCTGAGATGTGTAACTGATTGACTGTGTCCGAAAACTTTGCAGAATGCTTCACAGAAGTGCTGTGAAGTGCTGATAGTCACATTGCAGAGGCTGCAAACAAGTGTGAGGGATGGACAGAGCCCTCAGGGAGCCACCAGAGTCCAAGGAATAGGAAGTGAAGGTTGTGGACGTTTGTTGCATCAAATGTATGAATGAATTCATGGAGCTGTTGTATTATTTAGTGCCTTGCTGTGTAATGACTTGGATCCATGCTCTGTAAGGGATGAAAAATCTGCAGCAGGAAGGAGCAGAGACAAATTTAAGTGCTGTCAAGAGGACATGTGGCTGCTGGGTGCAAACACGCTGAGGGCAATGGAACTGGAGGACTTGTGAGCAGGGAGCCCAGCAGGCATCCGGCATGATGAAAGCTGAGTGATGGCTTGGGATCTGAAGGGCCTGGAAGTGCCTGGAAATGTTTAATGCTCTGCTTGAATCTGTGTGTATGCTTGGGTTATCTCTGAGTAAATGCCTTGTGATTCTTCTGGATTCCCCCGGGAGCCCTGCTTGTAGCATCCTTGTTCACTCATTGTCCCTGAAGGGTTAAACTATAAACTGAAGTACCCTTAAGTGCAGAGCTCAAGTGAGGGTGGTTTCTGAGCACCCGCAGCCCGATGGCGGCTGGAATGCAGCATCACTCCCCAGCAGTGAGAGCAGCGGGGCTGCGGGAGCCGCTCACAACAGCCCTGTTCTGTGGGCATTACTCCTGGTATGGGTTGGGGTTGGTCTGAGGGCTGGTGCTGGTGTGAAGTGGAGAAGTGGCATTTGAGGGCTAGGTAAAAAAAAAAAACCACGTGGATGTCACCACAGCTGGGATTTTCCCTTGGCTGGGGAAAGTGCCTCAGTGCTCGTGGGTTGTAGAGCTGCTCCAGGATGGGCGGCTGTGCAGAGGCTGGTTGCTCTCTGTACTGCTCTGATGGATCTTATGTTTCTTCCTGTGGACGAGCAAGTGAAACTCAGACCTCCGTTCTTAGCTTCAGGCTCTACCAAAGCCACTCGCCTGCTGAATCCTGTTGGCTGGGCATTCCTGGCGCTGGGCACGGGGCCCCAGACCTTCCCAGGCAGGTTGGAGCTGTGGCTCTGTGAAGCCAGGAGGAGCTCCCAGCAGCAGAAGCCTCGTTAGTCTGTTTCCTGCTGATGGACACAGACCTAGCAAGGTGCTTTGTGCCTGATGCCGAAGAGTCTGGGCAGGCTGCTGGGCTGCCTCCCTGCTGGCTGTTTGGGGAGGGTGGCTGTGCTTCTGCTGGTCTCAGCAGTTCCCTATGGGAAGGACAAGCTGCCTTGCTGCTGGGGTTTAGCCCCAGACGGGGCTTGTTGCATGTATGGAGAAGGCAGGTTATCAGCAGCCTTGGGTCCCCCTGGAAAATCAGGATGACTTCGAGTGAAACCATGGATGGGAAATGAAGACAGCTCTTCCCTCCAGCTCCACGGCTCCTGCAGGCCATAATTATAAGAGGAGTGAAGCTCTGCTTCCTGGCACAGGAGGCTGGGAAGCCAAGTGCAGCTGCGGTTATGCCTGAAGTTAGGTCCGTCAGACATCAGCATCATCTCAAGACAGATGTATCTGTAAAACCTGACTCTCAGATGGTATCTGGTGAAAGGATGCTTTGCCTTTTACTTCTGAGCTTTTCAGTGCAGTTACCCTCCTAGCTTGAAGAGTTGCTGCTCTGAGACTGCATTCACCACATGCCCATGCAGATGGACCAGTTTTATTTATTTTTGTCTGCCTTGTTTTTTTGTCTTTGTCTGGCAACTGCACTATAAAGGAAGGCTATTTGTGAGGTACCTCTGTAGTCACAGTGCTTTCATCCCGCTTGCTTTCCTTTGTGCAGGATGCTTGTTACTGATGGGCCGATTCCACAGTCACTAATTATCAAACATCCACTACAAATACTTTCTTCTTTGCCACCCTGGGGAGATTTTTAGAATGCCAGATTTGTTTGTTTATTTTCAAATCAGTGTAGAGCTAAACTTTCTGTGTTGCCCCTGCAGAGGTGGTCAGCCAAGCATGCAAAATGGGTTGAAATCAGCCCCAGTGAGCGGCTCTGACATGTGGCTTTCACTGACCAGAGTTCTCTTCTGCTCACAGTGGTTGCCCAAACTCAGCACACCAGGCTTCATAATGATTAATTGCTCTAAACAGGTGTTGAAAAAAAGTGGTATGGACTGACTCCATGTATGCATATCATTTGAAAGCACTGTGTTGTGGTGCAAACTGTCAGTAATCAAATTTCCATTACCTGGCAATGGGTGTGAACAGGCAAAAATACTGAGTCAACAGAATGCCAATTCAAGATCTGCAAGTATCCTGCTTTAAATATGGCAGCAGGGTTAGGAGATGCTTTCCCAGGAGGCTGTCTAGTGAGTAAGCACTACTCAGTCCTTTGTATTTTTTTCCTTTCTCCTGAGAAACACCTATTTCTATCAGAGCACGTCATTGGATAAATGAGATCAAGGTCTCTTGTCAGAGCCTATAGCAAGGATTTGGCATGGGTAGAAGTAGTGAGCAGGGCTGTTCTCTGAAGGTGGGAGGGAAGGTGATTTACCCTAATCTTGCTCTAGAATTGCTCTAGAAAATCAAGGATAATCTTCAAGAATCTTGGGAGAATGATCAGTGATGGGCTTTGGTTGGACAACAGTCAACTATGGAATCATAGAGTGGTTCTTAGTGCTGGGCTTGTGGTGTGTTTCTGTTCCCTCTGCGCCTTCGGTTTTGGATGCAGTGCAGTTGCAGGTGATTACTGGTGCTGGTGAAACCTTACCTTCTCATTGAGAAAACATGAGCAGCAGCTGTCCCAGCAGCTTTGTGTTCACCTGATCCTGAGCTCTGGGTCACCAGGAGGGTGGATTGCTTCTGAGTTCATCACAGTCTCTGTGTCTTTTTCAGTTTTGTAACTTTTCTGGTTTTTGCTTCAAAGCTGGATGTCTTAGCTACATCACTCAGGAGTTGTGAGACTTAATTAATATTAATGGAGCCCATTATGGGAAGTTAGCCATAGACAGGAGTTTCTTTAAAAGGTGAAATCATAATAATAACGATGAGAGTATCTGTGTTGCTTGGATACTGAGAGCTGCCCTAGCCTGCTCCTCGGTGTTTGCCTTTCATTACAGTTATTTTCCCCCCACCTTGTGGAAAATGACTTTTAAAAGAGGGTAATTATTCCATTGACAGTCATGACTACAAAGACGAGTCTTTTCCCTGAGCTTCATTTTCTTGCCATTTGGTGTTGGCTCTGCCAGCTGCAGGCTCCACGGATGCTTGTAAGCAATAGTCCAGTGAGAGCCACAGCTGGCAGGCAGTGGCAGAGCGTGCTGCATCATTGCTGGTTTGTTTTGGGAGCATCTTAGGAGTGATCCTTGCTTCTCATTTTTCCAGTCTGTCTTCAGGACTGGTTTCCAAGCAGACAACACATCTGCCAACCCAGCCATCTCCCAGCACAGACCTCGGCCATTCATCTGTGAACACGTGTTTCATCCAGATCCACAGCTGCATGTATTCCACAGCTTGTAGATACAGCCTGGAAAGAGAGCGACTGCTTGTTCTTGAGAGAGCTGCAGCAAGAGTACGTGAGCATCAAAAGAATCACGAATCAGCTAATCAGGAGTTCCGATTGTCTGGGTATCAAATCAGTTGTATTTAGTGGAATAAAGTAGGTAGTCACCACTGGAGCCTGATTACCTTTTTAAAGAGTGCTGCCTGATTAGGTTAAACTTTGTGCCATTTATGGCTGATTTTGGATAAATGGGAAAAGTCAGAGATGGGATCAGACATGTAAGCTGGTCCAGATTTTGAGAGTGAAAAATTCAGACTTGAAGCCAAACCAAGATCCATGTTCTGCTCCCAGATCCTCCAAGCTGGAGCTCTTTGGTGTTCTTGTGTAGGAAATTATTTGCTACCATGCTTCATGTAGAGCCATGGAACTAACTTAACTCTTTAGGCCTCGTGAAGGCATGTGTCCTCAGTACTGAGCTTTAACCAAATAAAAGGTGCTGAAATACTGAGTGGTTTGGATGCACACAGATGTGCATAAGAAGGTATTTCATCAGTTCCATGGCTTTCAATCCAGCATCTTTGCAGGTCACCACATGTATTCTGTTTAAGCCTTTTGATTAATTACGCCGTACCCAAACCATACATATTTATAGCTTGCAGAACGAGATAAATTCTCCAGATGTGGCTTCCTTTTAGTTAAGTGGAGATGAATGGAGATCAAAGCCTTTGATGTGCAGCCTGCCTCCAACTCACTGCTGACACCGGCCGCTGGAAATCATGCACTGAAGGGAGCTGGGCACTCCAAACTTGGGTATGAGGCAGCTAAAGCAAAACCTATGGGGAAAACGGTTTGTGGAGGATAAATCTATGTGCGCCATTGGGTCCCTACTTGTGAAAGTGGAAGGCAGTATTCAATGAACCCTTTACTCTTAAACAACGCATTTAAGTAGATCAATTTTATGTTCCAGCCCAGAAATGATTTAAGGCTTTTCAGTGCATGGATATCCTCTGTGATACACAGAACTGGCAGAAAATGTCATCGTGAGCTGCTTTATAGCCTCAATTAAGGCTATTTCCATTGCTCCAGATGCGTAAAGCAGACTTATAGCTGAGTTCCTGCTATAGAGAAATCCCTGGTGTGTCCTCGGATCAGAGCTGCCAGCTCAATGATGTCTTCTTCACAACCCTTGGAAAAAATGATGGATAGCCAGGGAGCTGCAAATTCAGATTGAGCTCTCACACTACGATCACTTACAGGAGTCTCAGCCGGTTGGAGCCATAGCACAGTGCTTACCCAGTGGCCAAGTGGCTGCTCTGCCCGTCTCTGCCACTTTGGAAGCTGCCTGCATGATGTGCCAAGGGAGCTCTGGCTGCTGTGCTTTGCATCTTGAACTGCTCTGTACAATGAAGCTGATACTACAAAAAAAAATCCAACCCAAACTCGAAGGCACCATGGAAGCATTGGCCTGAAGTGACCCCCAGCAATCTGGGCCAGAACCTGAAGATGTGGATTGAGGGCTTTCTCTGAGACTTATGGGCAATTTTTGGATGTAAAAGATGAGCAGAAGTGTTGAAGGTGGAGCTCTTGAGCACCTCATGTAGTGAGAAGAAAGGAGATGAAAATCTGAAAGTGGAAGACTGGTGATGCTGCCAAAGGACCTCTAGTGTTCATGGTCCATAGAAGGAAAGGGAAGCTGGTCTTAACAACAGGGAGTTCCATGAGCTTGGGGAACTGATGGCTTCCATGGGAGGGAAGAGGCCAAAATGCCAATTACTCCAGTGCATAGAAAATACAGGAGATGCAGCTGGTCTCCTGAATCAAATTCCTTATTGGCATCAGAGGAAATAACCGTGAAAACTGGTTGGTCTGTAAGATTACTGCAGATGATCGTAAAGAAATAGCTCAAATCTGTAAAGGAAAAACATAAATGAAGAAAATCCAATGTAGCTAGTAATAGACTTTAGGGGTAACAAGAAATGGTTCTTGAACCCACTGATAAGAGGAGGGAGAGCAAATTAAAGATTTGTCTGTTACTTCAGCGAGAGAAAGAGCTCCTAATCAATGAAAATAAGGAGTTTATGTTCCTTCTGTCCAGTCTTCAATAAGAAACAAATGGTGTATAAGCATGTGCCACAATTAATATTAACACATGAAAAAATCAGTCTAGATGAGGGAAGAACAGACTAAAGAGCTCTTAGATAAGTCAGAGGTTTTTAAATTGGCTGGGGCTGCCTTAATCCTACAGTACTGAAGAACTGGCTTTGGTAATCTCAGAACTGTTAATGGTATCTCTGAATTCATGGGAGGACTGGGGTGATAGCAGAAAACTGATGTATTGCTTATCTCTGAAAGGTGGGAGAGGTGAGGGAAGAAGGAGCAGGAGAGTAATGCAACAGTCAGCTTACCCAGAACATCCAGAAAACTGCTGCAACAAATAATCACCACCCTGGAAAATAAGATGAGCAGCAGCCAGTACAGGTTTGCTGAGAACAGATCGTGTCAAAGCACTCTAATTTCAGTTTAAAGACTAACAGACCGTGTGGCTAGAAGGAAAGCAGTAGATGTCAAATATATTGACTTCTGTCAGGCATTTGACAGTGCAGATATTTTTTGTCCTCTTGCAGCACTTTCATTTCCTTTATATTTTTTAGGAAGATAATTTAGAGGAAAATTAAAACTGGGCATCACCCAATTTAAAGCATCCTTTTAAGCCTAATGCTCCAATGTAATGTCCGAAGTTCATGGTGAGCCTCAGAGCTTGTAAAGGCTGCCATGGTAAGCTCTTCCATGCCTCTCAAGAGCTAAGCTGGGGGCTCAGATCACCTGTTAAGTGACAAAGTGTTGTGTCTTTGCAGTCAGTGAGTACAGGGAAGGGAGCAAGCCATAAAGCATCCTCTACTGCAGACCCACCTGGAGCAGTGTTTGACCCTCCAGACAGTAGCTAAAAGTCAAAGGCACTGCCTGGTAGTGATGGATGTTATTCATTGCCAGGAACTCTGAGGCTTCTGCAATGCCACAGGTGCACAGCCTACCCCAAGAGAGGTGCTCCAGTTTTGCAGCGATGCTAAGGTTGCCATTTCCCATCAGCCTGTACCCTCTGCAAGGTGCCTTTACTTCTACCATCCAAGAAATGCCTACAACCAAAGCTGTACCCCCAGAGGTGGCTGCTTCTCACTGTCATAGCAGTGGGCAGCACCAAGCAGCACATCTGTCCAGGGCAGCCCTGCTCCTTCCTCACCTGGGCAGTGCTGTGCTGCAGGCAGCTGCTCGTGGCCTGGCCCTTCCTGTGGCAGGCAGCAGAACAAATCAGACACTTTGCATTTCATCAACCTTCCTGGAGAGCGCTGCACAATTGTTCCCACAGCAGGATGCTGAGCAAGCCGGCCTCAGTGAGCACCACCTTCCTCTGCATCGCTTCATCTGTCTGGAAGAAAGGAATCAAGGGAAGGAAATGAAGACGTTACATCTGTAATCATATTTCACAGCTGCACAGCAATTTTCCTCCCGGTGCATTCAGCAGCTGGGATGCTGTGACCTCTGCCATAGCAGGCAGCAGCCAGCCCATGGCTTACTGTGCAGCTTATGGAGGAGTGCTTTGCTTAGAGCAAAAGACATCCTTTTTGTTTTCAGGTGTTCTCGCAATATTCCCTGGCAGAGGTCACCTTGCAGTGCTGGAGGGTCAGGCAGTTGCTTCCCTTGTAAGGTGAAGGGCAGCTGTGCTACTGCCTGTCCCCTCCCTGGCACATGTTGGCTGGCTGGGGCCTGGCAGGTAAGTGCAGTGTGGGGGATCCTATTCTGAATGAATACCCACTCCAGCTGCTCTCTGTGCTGGGATGGGCTGTAAGGTAGCAGGCTGAGCTGAAGACAACATTTGCTAAGGAGGTGAGTGCCCCTGTGCTGCTTTTCTGGCACAGCTGAAGTTGGGATGTTAAAAATGAGTTAATTTCTTCACAAGGCTCAAAATATAATATTAAGTGATAAGGATAATGTATCCAAGCTGAAGCCCTGCATACAGATCCACATTTGTAACTTCTCTTAGCCACACACTGCAAATGGTCACCTAAATTTTGAGCATTTCAATACTGGATTTTAAACCTATTTGGTTTGTAATATATGACCCTTGTTAAAAAGGCTCAGGTTTATTTGTCTCAGTTATGTATCATCAATGCGTTGCCAAAATGAAGTAGACTATAGGGTGAGATATTACCAAAGTGTTCTTAACAATACTTGCACCTCGTACTTCACCAAATATTTATGGTATGGCTTTCTTATGCCTGATTCCTTTGTTGAGTGGAGCAGAGCAGCAGATCCCATGTGACACACCATGCGGGCACTGGCTGCAACCCAGCGGGGCTGCGGAGCTGATGGGCATCGGTGGGCAGACTTCTGCTGTGTTTGTTGGGGAAGCAGTGAAAAGGATTACAGCACAATGCAGAGGACCAAAACTTCAAGATCACTTTTGCTTGCCTCTGTTGCTCCTTAACTGGGCTGCAGTTGTGGTGCTTGAACAAAATGCCATCTGTATGATGAACAGCCTTTGCTGCTGGGTGTGATGTAAGTGCTGCTGGACTTAGGAGAGCTGTGGTTTGTGAGAAGTCAGACTCCTGCTCCATTGCATCTGCATGTCAGCAGCACTGGAACGCTCATCAGGGACATTTTTCTCCTTAACAGCCAACTTCTGGTCATGCTTAATTACAGCAATCACTTTTTATTCTGCTTTATGATGATCCGGTATCATAAATCTTCTCTGCAGTTAGTAGAGAGGTGGTTTCTTGTCAATCCTGCAGTGCAGAAAGACTCTTTGCCTTAACTCTAGATGGAAGGAAAGCTGAAAAATTCCCTCTGCCTCTTGGAGCAGTTTCTTGTTGGTGCAGTTCTATCCTGCTGGCAGGAGATGAACAGCAGTTCCCCCTTCAAACCCTCCTTTGCATGTAGGTTCCTCAGGTTGCTCACTTTGGTTAGCACTGTTCCATTGGATGCTGCCAGCTGAGGTGCAGGCACACAACCAGCTGTAGGTCCATGTTGGGGAACCTGTGGCTCCTGACTGCTCTGTTCTGAGTACCCCTCGTGGAGACCCCTGGAACTTGCAGGTGTGAGTGGCAAACAGGTGGGACTGTGGAAGGTCATAGAGTAGCTTGGGTTGGAAGGGACCTTTAAGATTATCTAGTTCCACCCCCTTGCTATAGGCAGGGATACCTCCCAGCAGACCAGGTTGCTCACAGCCCCATCCAGCCTGGCCTTGAGCACCTGCAGGATGGGAGCATCCACAATCTTGCTGGGCAATCCGTTCCAGTGACTCATCACACAGTAATGAATTTCTTCCTAATATCTAGTCTAAATTTTCCTTTTTCCAGCTTAAAGCTATTTCCCCTTGTCCTGTCACTACATGCCCTTAGCATGATGATCTGGTTTGTAAAATGGGTGATGCAGTATGGAAGTAGGAAAATCTCTCAATCGCCTTTTGCAACGTAGCCAGCAGTCTGCATGCCTCTGCCTGGCTCTACCTGTGTGCAGCCTGCGTCCCTGGGGGGGACCATTGGCTTCATCTGTAATGAAAAAAGCATACAGCCTAACAAAAGCCCCAAAGCCATATGGTTCAACATCTGATTTGTTTCAAGTCACTCAAGTGACAAGCTGAAAACCCTCCCTTTCACATATGCTTAGGAGTTGGGGTGTGGATTTCTCCAGAAAAAAGCCTTCTGCCTGCCTTTGAAGGCAGGGCTCTGCCTTTGATGTAGCAGTGAGCAAGGAGGTGGCCGTGTGCTGCGGCACAGCGATGGCTCTGCTCCCTCCCAGGTAACTGCCCTGCTGCCTTATTTACAGCTCATACAGAAAATGAGAAGCAGAGCCTTACAGAGCGCTGCTAATCTTGACCAGGCCGGGTTTATTGTAATACGAAGCACAGTGTATGCAGTGTCATATCTGCTCTGCTGTTAAGGAAAGGGAGACTTTTCATTCTAACAGACTGAAGGGTCAGGTGAGGGAACAAGTGGGCACTTCTGGCCCTGAAATAGCTGCTTCTGGAGGCTGCTTGGGGCAGGTTTCCTTACAATGGGAGCAAGAGCAGAGGGATGTGATGTGCAGCCCTTGGGGTTGGGCTGCAGGGAGGAGCTGCAGCCATGGCTGTGGGGAGCTCAGTGCTTGGGGCAGTTAGGAGCCTGCAGGAAATGAAGATTAAAGAAGTGATAGGGATGGTTCCATTATAGGAATGGCACAGCGTGAGAGATGCTGGGGCAGGACCTTGGGGCATAGCAGGGCCTTCCTGGGTGTGCAGGAGGGCATGGGGCTGATGTCCTGCAGCAGAGCTGTGCCCAAATGGAGGCAAAAACAATGACATTCAAATCCCAACTTGGACAAAGCGATGAATCTAAATAACATGAGGCTTATTGCAAATTGAAATTCGAATCTAAATTTCAACAAACGCTGCCAGTCGCTGCTTTCTTTGGTATGGCAGCCCTCTCCTTCTCCCCAGCTCCTTTACCAAGTGAAGCAGCACCGTAACCATCCTCAACCTACTGTAGTGTGGCTGCGCAGCCATGCACTGCTCATCCCACACCAGGTCCAAACCCAGTGCTGTGCCCAGGGCCATGCGCTGCCTGCAGGCTGCAGCTCTCTGCACTCTAGTGCTGGCATGGAGCTTTGTTTTTCTGAGGGGGAAATTTCCCTCTCTTTTGGTTATTAAATTGTCTGTCCTGAGTTGAAGAGTGTGTTGCAGCTGAAATGCTGAAAAAGGCACAAAGCTGCTAATACAGAGCTACAGCAGCAATTTGGTTTGCTCTCACACGGTAAATAAGAGTTACCTGCTATTCTTTGATCAGCCTTTTTTTCTGTTACGAACTGAATGTGTTGACAAATCGTGTCACCAAAAAGAAATGCAGGGCTTTGATGAAATGAAAGGAAATGAGCGTGTGCTGGAGGCTTGGAAATGCACCTGGGGAGGCTGGGTGGGATGCAGTGTGGCTGGGGGTGCCGGGGAAGTGGCAGAGATGGAATCAGAGTGCGCTGAGGGCAGTGCCTGTAAGAGGGAAGCAATGGGCACTGCAATGCTCTGTGGTGAGGGAGCAGGAAGGGATGGGGGTTGGACCTGTGGCTTTGCAATGGGAACTGCGTGAAGCTTTAGTAAAGTGCCAGCAGCAGTGTTGGAAGGGTTTGGTGGTGGTCAGCATGGGAAGAATCTGGGTTTCTGTGAACCATTCCCCAGAATGCTGGATAATGCCAAACTGAGAGGTTTCTGTGTCTGCTTCTTGAAAAGCTTGGTGTTGGTGCTGGGGGACAGAGGTGCCACAGAGGAGTGGATGCTGGGGGGCACTGCTTTGGGCTGGAGCTTTGCACAGCTGAAGGCACTGAGCTTCCAGCACTGCGCTCACCCCAGCCAGCTCCACTTTCCTCCTGCAGCTCCAGGCTGTGGGTGCAGGAGATGTGCTGTGGCAGCATGCATGCAAAAGTCTCTTCCCTTGGGTCTTCCCCAGATATATTACTCTAATATTTAGGGAGTTGTCTAAATCTGACTTGCTGCCCAGCTGGGGGCATGGATGTGCTGACCCAGAGGGCTCTGCTCTCTCCTTGGCTGCTGTTGCTTTGCGAGCACCAGCGACCACTCCTAGCAAATCTAATAGCACTTCTTATCAGTTCTGAGTTTGTCACCTCACCTTAATGAACGCTGATTAATTAATCAGTATTAGTGAAATTATCCTTTACATAGTCAGATACTCAAATTAGTCAGTATTAAGTAGAAATCTTTGTTGCATTTTTGCAGTGGTTCCAGCATGTGAAGCGCCAGGAAAATGCAGCATAGTTGAATCCCTGTGTAGTGTGAGAGAAGCTAAGTTATGGAACAGGGCTGAGGAAAACTGAGAGATGTCCTCTGCATGTGAAAACATTCAGGAAATCATCCTTTGCTATTTACATCTGTAGTTGCTGGGTGTCATTTGCAAGGCACGTTCTGCGTTCACCATGCCCAGGTCAGCCTTGTGTTTGAATGCTGTCCACAGGAGTGTCAGCCCAGCAGGACTTATGCCTGCACAAACAGAACAGCAAGGCCTGAACATCCCTTCCCATGCCATGTGCTGGGACAAACAGCCCGTGGAGAGCAGCAGGGCGTTCCCAGAAGGGCTGAGGATGTGGCCAAACAGTCCTGGCAGCAGGTGCCAGGGTGGAAGTGGCTGTGGTTCCAGATAAGATGTCAGGTGCAGTGTGGGACTGCTGGGGAGCACTCAGGGCAGTGCTGCTGGGGCTTCTGCAACGTCCACACACCTTTAAAAATCCATTTCTAAATACTTAATATGAATTGCAAACGATGTAGTTGACACTAATATCTATTTCTCTTGTCTGTAAAGTGTGGTACTCCAAGCTGAATGCCTGTTTTGCACCCTGTGAGTGGGGCTGCTGCTGTGCTGTAGCACATTCTTGCACAGTTCATTGCTGGAGCATGTGGTTTCAGCACGTCCTAATGCAATAGGTGCAGATTGTTCCTTGTTTTGTGTACATATGTGTGGAACTGAGAATGATAATTAAATTGATCCTTTCTTTCTCACTGAAAGCTGACAGTTGACCCTCGTGTATAGATTCATTACTGCATATACTGTTTCTGTGCTGAGGCACTTTTTTTTTTCCACCAGTCTGAGGGCAGCTCTGCCCAATGCTTTCAGCTCTCATTGCCTTCTCTTGAAAACAGAAACAGTCATATGAAAATTTGAAAGTACTGAAAAACTTGAGATGCTAAATGGGAGCTCTCTAAGTGGAACGACACCAGAGTAGGTAGGAGCATGCACTGCTCCTTCCCCAGGACACTCCATCCTGCCTTGTGCCAGCAGCCCACCCTGAGCACATTCTGTTCCTCAGCTCCACTGGGTGACGTGGGCAATCAGGCTCTGCACCTCGTGGCACAGTTGTACACTCCATCCTGTACGGCTCAACAAATGCATTTGAGCGCAGCTTTGCTGCAGCTCTGCCAGTTTTCCACTTGCACAGGTCCTCAGCAAAAGGTATGGATCCATTTGTTGAAAACAGCTGAATCAGGAATGGAACATCTGCCCAGGAACAAACGTTTTGATGAGGCCATGGGTGGCAAAATGTTTTCTGTGGTACTTTTTTTTTTTGCCTGAGGCACCTCCCTTTTGCTGTCAACATAATACATCATCTGTCTGGGAGCAGTAGCAGTGAGATGGGATTACTGACAGCTTCTCTGCTTCTTTATTCCTTGCCTCTCATCACAGCCACTGCACAGCATGGGGAATGACAGAACATGGAGCTCCTTTGCTGGTGCTTTGCTCAATTAACCCACACAGGGCTGGGGACTGCCCTGGAGGAGGATGGAGATTAGCCCTGAAATCCTTCTGATCCTGCAGGAGTCCTGTGTACTGGAGGGGCCTTTCCACCTGCAGTGAGTGCAGAGGTGTCCCTGGGCTCCTTCCTAGGGGCTGGGAAAGGGAGCTGTGGGAAGCCCACCTGCTGTGTCCCAGGAGGTGCCGGGGCTGCAGGAACCAACGCATCGTCCCAGGGGGGAGATGCATTGCTCCATCTGAGCTTTGCTGCACTGCCTATGCAGAACAGCTCTTTCTCCTCCCCTCGCCTTAAGGTTTGCACCTTTGCTTTGTCTGCATCTACTGGATCTTGCAGGAAAGTCCCTGGAGTAGGGTCACAGCTGTGCAGGAGCTGAGCACCTTTCGCCATGGAAAAAGGGTCAGAGCTGGCAGGGGAAAGCCTCTGGGTGATGTGAAAGGGCCTTGAAGCTACCTGACTTGAGGAGAAAGCCAGGAGGGGTAAAACAGTCCATGACCTCTCCATGCTGGCCTGATTGGAGCTTGAAAAGGAGCTGTGAAGCCCTGCTGCTCGCTGCTCGAGCGGTGACCTCCTCCCTATGGAAGTTAATTCAGCCAGGAGCAGCCTGAAAGCTCTCGAGATCCGTATCTGTAAGGGGCAGGGATGGCCCTCAGCCTTCAGGAGAACAGCAGTGCTGTGAGGGAAGTTCCAGGAGAGATTTTGCAGCTTCCTGGAGTTATCTCAAACTTTCATCTCCAAATGCAAAGGCTCATACAGACTTTGTATTCTGTTAGTGTAATACCAAATGTCCTCGTTCTTCAGGTATTTATAGCAACTTACACAGCTCCCATAATAGCTTTTTTGGCTCAGCACCTCACAACAGAGTGCATTGTTATCCCCTTTCCATGGATGTGGAATTAGGGCACAGAGATTCAGCCATTTCTGCTGGATTTCCCATAGCCCTTGAGCAGAGCCCTGACCCCACAATGCTGTGAGATGCCCCAGATGTGTTCAGAGCTCTTGCTCTGTGCCTCAGTTTCCCCATCCGCAAAAGTTGCATTGTAACAGGTTAACCAGCAGACTGAAGTGGTTTAAAGCTGAATTACTTTCTGCTAGCATCATTTCTTGCACCCTGATAGCGCAATCAGCATGATGCACTTTTGCATTATAATGTGGTGATGATGTTATGCTGCAGTGTATAAATTAAACTCTTCAGTATTATCCCCTACTGACAGAATAACTTGATAGTGGGAATGGAACTCAAGCTTGTCCTGGATTTGACTGGGAGCTCGGGGAAGATGGGTCCCCCCGTAGAACCAAAGTGGTGATACAGAGGTGGAGCTCCATAATGTTTCCATTAATGCTGCCATAGGAATGTCTGCAGCTCACTGTGTCTCATCCTGCTGGTGCTGAACACACGTGTAGCCATGCGCCTCCTCCTGCAGGGCTGCAGCCCAAAGCTGTGCCTGCTCTGCAGAATTGTGCTCCAGCACATGTAGATCAAAGGTCTGGAAGGCCTTCGGTGGAGATGTGCTGTGCAGATGGGAGCTTAGAATTTCTAACGGGGAGGTACAGATGCAGGACCCCTTAAGGATTGCATTCAGCGCAGTGCAACACCTCTCTATGGCCAGGGCCTTAATGTGCTCCGTTTCATGGTGGTGATTGGTTGGATTAAGTTGTACTGATACAAGCAAAGTAGGAATGAGACAGTTGCAATAAATGCAATGAGCAGCACTTGCTCTGTGCCAGCTGCAGAGCTTTGGACACAGTGGGCATGCAGGGCTGGAGGTGCTGGGCAGCACTTGGGGTGCCAGGACAGCCAGCTCTGTGCATCTGCTGCTCAGAGCAGACCCTGCTGGACCAAGGGCTGGGGGCACCCCTGGGCAAGCAGGGCCCTGCAGTGCAGCATCAGTGTTTCTGACCTGCGGGATGCAAAGGAGGAAAAGGTGAAACGGCGAGGGCAGCAGTAGAAGGAGGCTCAGATTACATCAGGGCTGCCTTTTAATTGCATCGTTGAATTCCAGTTTCTAACTCCCCGAGACGAGACATCAAACAGAGTGTTAAAATTGCTCGAAACCAAGCTGCAAGTCTCAACACCAGAATGCCTATTACACTTATCTGTGACCTTTTTAACGTTAAAACCACCATATTATTATTATTTTTACATCTCCACGTTATTATTAGGCTTCTGAAATCTGCTGCAGCTTGATTTATAGAAACTGCTTAGTCACTGGCACCGGTGCTGTGCTGTGAGGGAGGGATGCTCCGAGGTACCTTGGCAGCCCAGCAGCCCCATTGCCTGGGCAGCCCTGTGCCCTCGGCTGCTCACAGTCTGCCTGCTGGCAGCCTTCTTCTGTGAAGGCTGTGGGGAAAATGACCCCACACCCACTTAATGAACCTCGCTGATCAACAGGGTCACACGAGCTTCATTCTTCACATGAAAAGCAAGCTTTGGTTCTGCTGCATGCTTCGCCAGGAACTCTGCCCTAGATTTTAGACAGGTTGTAGGCTGGTGAAGTTGAGATTTGGGTTTTGGAAGAAGCGCCTTTGGTGACAGAAGCAAGAAATGCTGTTAGAGAAACCTCCTGCTTTTATTCTGGAGCGCTGCTGTGTCCTCTGCTGCCATCCAGGAGCCCTTGGAGTGCTTCCCCACAGATCTGTCTGCAGAGCCAGGATGGCGTGGGCTGCCTGGTGAGGTGCAGGCAGCCAGCACAGGCTGGGATGAAGCTGTGGGTGTCCCTGCTCATTGCAGGGGATTGGGACCCAAGGGGCTTGAAAGGTCCTTTCCAACTCAGCCATTCAGTGACTCCGTGGCTCTCAAAGCCCAAACAGGGAAGGGTTCTGTGCTGAGCCATGTGCTGCTGTCTGTGACCCTGCTCAGCTGAGCTCATACCCGGAGCAGACGCTGCAGGACAGGCCCTTACATGACAGCACTCACCCTGGGTTTTACATACATGAGACCATAGTAAGTGCTAATAATTGACTGCAGTCTAAGCACACCAATTACAGACCTGTTTCTCGCTATTATTTGCTGACTAATGGCTGTGTTGAACTCTTCATAAAGCAAATGCAAGATCCCAGACCTCAGCTCTGCACCATGCGTGCCTGTGTGGCTCCAGAGGGATGGCTGCTCCCCTTCTCCTTGCTCACACCTTGCTGTGCTACAGAGCTGCCATCTGGACCTCAGCAATAGGCAAAAGGAGAGGGATAACAGATCCCAACTGCCTTCATCCCAGTGTCTTCTGTGGGTAGGTTTGAGGCTCACTAATGGAGCGTGCCTCCTTGCAACACACTGCTGTCTTGGAGGTCCAAATGGGAAGGCCAAAGAACACCCCTTGGAGTAAGGAGCTTAGGCTTACATGTCCTTTGCACTGGAATAAGCCTTTGTTGAACATACTTAAGGAGCTACCAGAAGTAAAACAATCATTGTGCTTGGCAGAGTCTGGTGGACAAAAAGAGGCACAGATATAAAGTCCTGAACTGCTGAGAGCAGTTGGAAATAACGGATTAGTTCTTCTCTCCTGACTCAACGCCTTTATTCTTTCAGACACGATTTTTTATTGCCCGTGCTCCTGTAATGTGTTGTGGTGACTCAGTGAAAGGTCTGCAATAATGTTTCATTGCTGGGAAGTCACCAGATAGCCACAATTCATCGCCCAGCTCACACAGTTACAAGTGCTTAGAATACAGCCAGAAATGGGCCGTAATCGATAGCAGAGGATAACATAAGAGCTGGGGAAAGCATTGCAGAGCAAGTATTGAGGAATTACACACTCAGAAAGCAATGTTCTGGACACGTTCTGGGAATGACACGAGTTATCCAATGCAGTACCTGGTGGGATAGCTGTGCTGTCGAGGTGTACTCTCACCTTTCTATTCCAACAGACCACCCCAGCCCTGCCTGCTCTGTATGACGGCAGGGATGTCTGTGTGCTTCCTGTCGAGCCCCTTCCTGGGGACCTGATTCAGTGTGCTCTCTCTGCAGGGCCATCTGAGAGTCACGAGCTAAGCTTGGCTTTGTAGCAAACCTGTCGACTTAAGGCATTTGGGGACATAAATCCAAACAGATCCGCGTTTTGTGTAACGTACTGTCAGCCAAGTCCCTTTTGCTAAAAGGAATTATATTCTAAAGCAAACACAAAACAGCAAAACTGGGAGAATATAAAAATGGAGTGCTGGCTGTGCAGCATCGTACAGCCCTGTCCCGGTCTGGATCCATTTCTCAACTATTGTCTGCTTTCAGCCCAATAGTAAAGTCATATTTATTTACTTGGCTCCGCTGCGTTAATGAAAAAGCCACTTAACAAAACAAATAGAAGGAAGGACATTTGCAACCAATTATGGTATTGCTGATCAGTCAAATTGTGCTGGAAATTACATGTTGGAGTTCATTCGAGGCAGCTGATCAATTACCTGGTAGTTTGGCATCGGCGCGTGGTATCAACTTAATAAATCAATTTAATTTCAGCCGCTGTG